CACCTGTGACCCCGTTCTGTAACTGGGGAAGCTAAAAGCCAAGAGGGTTACCATGACCTGGTTGCAGCCTCCCCATCTCCCTTCGTGCAGCCCTGGGAGGGTTGGGGTTGTTGGGATGGGTGAAGGCTGATCGAAGTCTCTCCACCCTGCAGACATGTCCTTCCGCAAAGTGGTTCGGCAGAGCAAATTCCGGCACGTGTTTGGACAGCCGGTCAAGAATGACCAGTGCTATGAAGATATTCGAGTGTCCCGTGTCACCTGGGACAGCACCTTCTGCGCTGTCAATCCCAAGTTCCTGGCTGTGATCGTGGAGGCCAGCGGCGGGGGTGCCTTCCTGGTGCTCCCCTTAAGCAAGGTGGGCCCCCTCAGGGCTGGGGGAAGGACTGGAGACTTGGCCACACCTACCAGGCCTCTCTGCTCACCTCACCTTCCGCATCTTGCCCACCCCCACACTGCTGGGCAGGTGTCATAATCCAGATTTATGGCCTAAAAGAGGCGTTAGCACAGATAGAGATTTTTTTATTGCCAGCGAGTCAGGGTCAGAGGCAACAGACGTTTCCCGCTTACCCTTGACTGCCCCTCTCATGCCCGCAGACGGGCCGCATCGACAAGGCTTACCCGACGGTGTGTGGACACACAGGACCCGTCCTGGACATCGACTGGTGTCCCCACAACGACGAGGTCATCGCCAGCGGCTCGGAGGACTGTACGGTCATGGTGAGGCTCGGGGCTGTGGCTGCGCCCGGGTCGCAGGTGTGGCTCCAGGCCGCCAGCAGCTGGGCCACGCAGAGGTCTCACCTGGCATCCCCACCCCTCCCGCAGGTGTGGCAGATCCCGGAGAATGGGCTCACGTCCCCGCTGACAGAGCCGGTGGCGGTACTGGAGGGACACACCAAGAGGGTGGGCATTGTCACTTGGCACCCGACTGCCCGCAACGTGCTGCTCAGCGCAGGTCCGCACCGCCCCCCCGCCCCCCTGCCCCCCTCTGTGTGCAGCCCCGGAACCCACACCCTCTCCCAGGCCCATCTGACAGGTGGTAAAGCCGAGGCCCACAGAGGTCAAGGGGCCGGGTGTGACCCCTGGAGGGTGGGCTAATGGCCCCCTGCCCGGCAGGCTGTGACAACGTGGTGCTCATCTGGAACGTGGGCACGGCGGAGGAGCTGTACCGCCTGGACGGCCTGCACCCCGACCTCATCTACAACGTCAGCTGGAACCGCAACGGCAGCCTCTTCTGCTCTGCCTGCAAGGACAAGAGTGTGCGCATCATCGACCCCCGCCGGGGCACCCTGGTGGCGGTACGTGGCCCCGGGGGGCCTAGGACGGTAGCGGGCAGGCCGAGGGGCTCTGTCGGGTGCCGCCCTGACCACTCCATCCCCCGGACAGGAGAGGGAGAAGGCTCACGAAGGGGCCCGTCCCATGCGGGCCATCTTCCTGGCGGATGGCAAGGTGTTCACCACAGGCTTCAGCCGTATGAGTGAGCGGCAGCTGGCGCTGTGGGACCCGGTGAGTGGCCGTGGCCTGCTGGCGGGACAGCCTTGATTGAGCCTTGGACCCCACCCTGGGCAGGGAGGGCGGGAGTCACCCCGGAGAGGCCTGTGGGCCGCAGGTTCTCAGCCTGGCAGCTGAGGCTCTCGGGACCTGGAACCTTTGCCCCTCGCTCTCCAGCCTCCCCTGCTGCCTCCAGCTTCCTCCAGGCCTTAGGCCACGTTGTTCTTGCCAACTGAAAGGCCCTTCCCTCCTTTGCTTGCCTGTTCCAATCTGGCTGTCCTTTGGGGCCCAGTGCCGGGGCCCCCTCCCCCAGGAGGCCTCCCAGCCCTTCTCCTGGAGTGTTCTGTCCCACAGCCGTGTGGCTTCTGTATAGTGACCTCCGTGGATCCCTCTGAGACGGGGTAGTGCTGCCTGGCACCCCCCCCCCCCGCTCCCACGTGGTAGGGACTAAAGGCCTGGAGTAGGCCAGGGAAGTGGGAACCTGGGAGTGGAAGGGATCCAGGAGCGGGGGAGAGGACCCATCTGGCGTTGGTGGGGACAGTGCCGGCCGGCATGGGAGGCAGCCTGGGGCCGGTCCTGATGGGCTGGGACGGTGAGGAGAGGGAAGGAAAGTCCTGGCCTGGCCTCACTGCCCGCCACCCCATGTGCCAGGAAAACCTTGAGGAACCCATGGCCCTGCAGGAACTGGACTCGAGCAATGGGGCGCTGCTGCCCTTCTATGACCCCGACACCGGCGTGGTCTACGTCTGCGGCAAGGTGGGGCCAGGCAGGGCGGATGGGGGCAGGGAAGAAGGCTGCGTTCCTGAGTACTGACCCCTGCCGCCTCCCACCCCACAGGGTGACTCCAGCATCCGGTACTTTGAGGTCACAGATGAGCCCCCCTATATCCACTTCCTGAACACATTCACCAGCAAGGAGCCCCAGAGGGGCATGGGCAGCATGCCTAAGAGGGGCTTGGAGGTCAGCAAGTGCGAGATCGCCCGGTAAGAAGGGCCCCCCGGGTGGCTGGCTGCAGAGGGATGAGTTGGCCCCAGCGGCAGAGGCCTGGCCATGGCCAGGCAGGGTGAGAGGTCAGACCTTCGGAGGCTGCTGAGGAGTGGGAACCAGCCCGCAGCAGGGCCAGAGTCAAGGTCCGACTGTGGAGGGGCTGGGGTGAGGCCTGGAAGTGGAGAGTGCAGGGAGCCAGGAGAGCCTGTGAGGGGGAGGTTCCACCCACAGTCCCCCCCGCCCTTTCGCAGGTTCTACAAACTGCATGAGCGCAAGTGTGAGCCTATCGTCATGACTGTGCCGAGAAAGGTGAGGCCACCTGGTCCCCTGCCCACCCACTCCCGTCCTCAGCGGACAGGCCCTGCGGGGGTGACCGGGCTGAGGCCTGTGAACGGGACGTGGTTGAGTGTGGATGTGGTCAATGGGCTGGAGAGACACCAGGATGGGTTTGGCCTGCCGCCAGGCGTTGGACTGTGCCAGGCAGGGGGTGAGACGGGGTGAGACGGGGGGAGCTGTGGCCCTGCTCTGGAAGAGCCACAGGAGACAGATGTCAGGCCGCTGTGCAGGGCTCCCTGTGGCAGGCAAGGCAGGACCCAACAGCATGGCTAGGGTGGGGCCTGCCAACGGTGGGTCAAGGCCAGGCAAAGGGCACGGATGTAAGAACAGAGAGAGGGACGGGAGGCTGGCTGTGGTGGAAACTCCCACGAAGCGGGGATCGATCCACGTGTGGCCTGGCCTCAGATGCCCAGCCAAGAACCTTGGACGAGCTTCGTTCTTCTCCAGCCAGCGTTCGCCGAGTGAACCATTCGGTGTGCCAGGCACATCCCAGGGAGGAAAGCCGTGAATGAGGCTGGCGGGGTTCACAGTCCGTGGGACACAGACAGGGCTCCCAGAATCCCGTGAAGCCACGTGGCTGACCCGTGCTTAGGAGCATTAGGAAGGCTTCTGAGAAGAGTTGTTGGCCATATCCCCAAAGGAAGTGAAACGAGAGATTTGTGCTTTAGAGAGGCCATTTGGGGCCAGGCCGTCGGAGGATGGGTTGACAGGGTTCAGGCCTGGGACTGAGAACAATGAGGAGGTGGCTACCCAGGGTCCAGACAAGAGAAGAGGACCCTGCCACTGGGCCCCCGGCTGATCCGGACCTCCCCCACCCCCTGCCCAGTCGGACCTCTTCCAGGACGATCTGTACCCTGACACAGCCGGGCCCGAGGCGGCCCTGGAGGCAGAGGAGTGGGTGAGTGGGCAGGATGCCAGCCCCATCCTCATCTCCCTGCGGGAGGCCTATGTGCCCAGCAAGCAGCGGGACCTGAAGGTCAGCAGGCGCAACGTACTATCCGATAGCCGGCCTGCCACGGCCCCGAGCTCGGCCCGCCCCGGGGCCTCCACCTCTGCTGCATCCATCCACACGACTGTCCCCAGCGGCAGCCTCGCCGGAGCCACGGTACGTGCCCCCCCCACCCCCACCCCAGCTCCCCCAGTCGGCACCCCGGTCTGCTGTGCGTGTGCCTGAACCTTTCCGGCCAGGCTGTCGGGCTCAGGCCCTGGCCTGGTAGGTCGGGGGAGGGCTGCAGCTCCGCGCCCCCTGACTCCTGCCCGCACGTCCCTGCAGGAGGCTGGGAAGCTGGAGGAGGTGATGCAGGAGCTGCGGGCGCTGAGGGCGCTGGTCAAGGAGCAGGGGGAGCGCATTGGTCGCCTGGAGGAGCAGCTCGGCCGCATGGAGAATGGGGACGCATAGCAGCACAGGCCCAGGGGATCCCAGTCCCCCTCACTTCCTCCTCCTCCGAGCTCCCTCCTCACCCAGCCTCTGCTGGCAAGTCACACCACTAGCTGGCTGTCTCCTGCCCCCTGCCCAGGGCCTCTGGGGCAGGTTCAGGGGCAGTCCACCCCGACCCATCCTGTGGGCCCCGGGCTGGAGCCACCGCCTGGCTGTCATTGTTACTGTGGAGGATTTTTGTATCAAGGCAAACTTATACCCTGAGGGACTATCTCCCCCCAGCTCCCTGCTCCCTCCCGGAGGAAGTGGGAGGGACAAGCTCTATATTTTCATTCCAAATAAAATTCTCTTTCTAAAAGCCAGGTTTGCCCTCTGCAAAAGGTGGGGCTGGGAAAGGAAGTCTGGAATGCTGGGGGCAGATGAGGCCGGCCCACAGGGATCACAGGTGGGAGGAAGGTCTGGGGGCCGTGAGCATCCCCCCCCAAGTCATCGCTTCCCTGAATTCTGCCAGCTAGAGAAACTGAGGCCACAGAGCTGGGGACGCCCAGGACTGCGTCCTGCTTTGAGATGGTGCCTGGGTCCTCCTTTTGGAGGCCTGGCCACAGGCTCCACAGCTCCGGCCTCACCCGGTGAGAGATCTGTGAGGCCCCCTAGTGTAAGGGTTAGGGTGGTCCCGAGAGGCCCACGGCCCCCAGCAGGGCCCTATGGCAGGGAGGGCCGGGTGGGGTACGTGAGCAGGAAGCGGAAGCGCCCAGTAACCCCTAGCTGCAGCTGAGCGCGCCAGAGCTCACTTCCACTCAACACAGCCAGAGCTGGTGGCGGGCACCCAAGCACCGAGGCCGGCGGACTGATGGTGAGCACAGGAGCCCACTGGGTCCTGCGGTGGGGGCCACAGGAGGTCAGAGCCGGAATGTCTGGGCCCTGGGCACTAAGAGATGACCCCCACATGGGGGCCCAGGAGCAGAAGCAGCTGGCCCAGGGCAGAGAAGGGAGACCCAGGGCAAGCGTGGGGCAGAAGCTGGGCCTTCTTACCTTGCCTCAGAGGTAGGCCTCCCCGGGACTCAGGGTGTACCCCCCCAGCACCCCTCTCCAGGCCCGGCCCCCCTTCAGGAACCTCTGACAGACCCTCTCACCTGTTCTGCTGGTGAGCTGGGACCTGGGCACAGAACCTATCTGCGTCCCTGGAGCCTGGGCAAACAGAGCCCGGGGTGAAGGGGAGGCTTGCTTGAATCTCGGCACCCCTCCCCCCACCAACACCTCCCACCTGCCTTGTTCCAACCGCAGGCTTCCTCTGGTAGCGACACCCGCCTCCCCCAGCCCCCCAGCCTTACAAGCCTGAGGCCCCCGGGGACGGGAGCTGAACGGAAATGCTGCAGCTGGGGCAGTCCTGTGGGTGGGAGAGGAAGAGGGGTGTCGGGGACGCCCCCCCTCCATCCTGAGCCCTGATCAGGTGGAGGGTAAACAGTTGTCTCAGAGTTGGCCCTGCCATTCCCACGCCTTAGGAAGAGCCAACCCCAACACCGGCCTTGTAGATTCCTTCCCTCCTTCCACATCCCCTCCCCACCCCCAACCCCACCGTCCAGAGTCTTGACACGTCCGACCGGTATTTACTGGGCACCTACTGTGTGTGCCAGAAATGAGCGCTTGAGCCAGGAAGACCCCGGTCTCCTTGCTGTGTGCTCCGGTGGGGCAGGTAAGGCAGGCAGCGTGAGGAGTACGAGGGAGAGACAAGTAGAGCCCGGCCGGGCCGGCTGCAGCGGCGAGAGGCAGGGCAGTACTCCAGGTCAGACTGGGCCTCCCGGGGAGTCTCACGGGGGCGGTCTGGGCCAACGTGAGCCGGCGGCCGTGCGGCTCTCGGGGGATGGAGCGTTCTGGATGTAGAGGGAACAGCCAGCACACAGGTCGGTGGCAGGCGCAGGCTCATGCAGGGCGTGGGCGCGGGCGGGAGGGGGGTGTCAGAGGCTCCAGGGCCACATCTCAAAGGACCAGGGCCTTGCGGACCCAGTAGGACGTGGGCTTTCCCGCTTGATAGTCCCCATTTTGCCCGAGAGGCAGCTGAGGAGCCGGTCACCCGGCCTGACTGCCCCCTGCCCGTCTTCCCGCAGGACCTGCCCTGTGCCCTAGGGCTCGGGACGCTGCTGGGCCTGCCAGGGGTCCTGGGCTCGGGCAGCAGTGCCGAGGACAGCGGGAGCTCCGGCACCGTGGCCGTGGCTGTGCTGCTGCTGCTGCTGCTGCTGCTGGTCGCCGGCCTGGCGCTGGCCTGGCGCCGCCTCAGCCGGGACTCGGGGGGCTACTACCACCCGGCCCGCCTGGGCGCCGCGCTGTGGGGCCGCACCCGCCGCCTCCTCTGGGCCAGCCCCCCGGGCCGCTGGCTCCGGGCCCGGGCCGAGCCGGAGACGTGCGCCGAGGCCCCAGATGAGCAGCAGGACGAGCAGGACGCAGAGGAGGACTACCAGCTGGCGGGCGGCCCAGGGGGGAGAGAGTCCCGGGAAGAGGAGCAGCGAGGCGGCCCGGGGCCCGGCCCCCAGCAGCTCCCAGAGCCGGCTGAGGACGCGCGTGACAGTAACACCGAAGGGGGCCTGGGCCTCAGCTGCCAGGGGCCGGCGGGCTCCGGGGGCAGCGCCGAGGCCCTGCTGAGCGACCTGCACGCCTTTGCTGGCAGCGCGGCCTGGGACAGCGCCGAAGCCTCTGGGGGCCGGGGCCTCCATGTCACTGCACTGTAAGAGCCAGCGTGGTGCCCCATCGCTGTCACTGTGCCTGTGTGTCCCGAGCTGCTCTGGACCCAGCGTCACCCACACCGCCCCCCCCCCCCATGGAAGAGTCTCAGACGATCGCTCCCCCACCGGTTCTGTCCCCAAAGCTGTGCATCCCTGTCACCACCAGGAAGGCCACCCACCCCTAGGGGCACGGGGGTCGTCTGAAATAAAACCCCTCCAGCCCTGTGGCTCTGTGGTCCTGTAGTGACCCTTCCCATCTCGGAGCAGGGGCTCCTCCTGGCACAGCCCCACCCAATCCTGCCCCCCCCCCCAGAGGTCCAAGGGAAGAGCCAGGTCAGTGCCATGATTCAGTATTTTAATTCTCCAAGGGCACAGCTCAACTGCAGGCCAGCTGGGTGGCGAGGCCACTCCCCTGACAGCCAGAGCCTGTGGCCCTTCACGGGCATGGTTCAGGGGCACAGCCACCCCAACAGAGACCCGCTCTCACACACACACACTCCTGTACCCCAGACACACCTCCAGGTCTCTGGAACTGGCCCAGGGCCCCACTTGCCCTCACAGCCGCCCATCCTCCTAGCGCCCTGGGCGCCCACGGCCCCTCTTAGACTTCTTGGTCCCCGAGGGGGGTCGGATGGGGAGGGGGGCAGTGCTCGAGGGTGGTGGCGGTGGTGGCAGGAGAGGAGGTAGAGGGGGCTCCGTGGGCTCCAGTGGGCCAGAGCTGGGCCGGAATCCCTCAAAGGGCGAGAACTTCAGGGGGCTGCGGGGGAAACCAAGGTGAGTCAGCACGTACTGGCACTCGGGTCAGAGGGCCGATGTCCCCCCCACCCCCACCCCCAGGCACAGAGGCTGTGAGGTCAAGTGCCCAGCCAGGCAGCCCCCACCACAAGGGGTCCCCAGGGGTGGATGAGAAAACAGACTAGCACTGAGAGGCAGCCCTGGGGTGGATTGGCAGAGCCAAAGCTAGAACCGGTCTCCTGCCTCAGCTACACACTCCCCTCTGTCCTGTGGTACCTGACCGGGGTCCGGGGACTGCTGTTGAGGCGCCTGGGGGAGCGCAGCTTGGGCTGGAAGGAGAAGCCCTCCTTGATGCTGTCCAGGACGGAGGGTGCCACATATGTGAAGCCCTGTGAGGGTGGGGGGGAGCGAAAGCAGGGCCGGACGACACTCAGTGTCCACCACTCCTTAGCCACAATCCTGCCCGGGCCCCCATAACCCTCAGGCCACCCAGGACCTCACCAGGAAGGCCTGGTTGGCGCTCTCACTGAGGGCCGTATCATCAGGACTGTCCACTGGCGTCTGCCGCGTGAAGTGGGTGTCAAACTGGCTCACATCCTCCTCTGACTGCTGTGGGTAGACCCGAGCGGGGAGGAGGAGTCGGGGGGGGGGCATCCAGGACGGGTCCTCCGCCTGCCCCCAGACCAGTGGGTCCTCCGCTTACCAGAGAGGGCCTGAAAGGGGGGTCGATGCGGCGAGCCAGGAGGTCGTCCCAAATAATGTGCCGGAAGAAGGGGTGCCTCTGTGGGTAGAGGGCCCCCAAACATCTCATCATTTCACCCTCCTTGACTCCCTCAGTAACCCCCTCTCGCCTAAGGCCTTGCCTGCCCCCCTGGTACCCTGGGGTCTCAGCCCTGCCCCCTCCTGGTGGTCCCAGACCCACCTGCACATCAGCAGCATCCCCAAGGCCACCCCCGATCCGTTGGCCGGGATTCCGCTTCAGAAACTGCAGACAAGGGCAGAGGGTGAGGGTCTGTCTGGGGGAGAGGCACTGACTATGTGTTCCTCCATGTTCCTGGGGACTGGCCTGGGCAGGGAAAGGTGAGCTGTGTGTGTGTGTGCGTGTGTGTGTGGTGGTGGGGAGAAGGCCTCAGGAGTGTGGTCTCCACCTACAGACAACCTTAGGCCATCCAAGGTTTGGTCTAATGGGCCCTTCTGCATGAAGCCTTCGCAAAGGCACCCGGTCACTGGGGGCACCAGGGCACTGCAGTGGGATCCAGTCTCCAAGCCTAGCCTCCCACTGTTACCCCCAACAAATGCCTTCTCGATGGGAGAGCAGCTAGCTCATCATGACTGTTCTGCTGATTAAGACTTGGGACTAGGGGTGGGTGCAGCAGGGTCATCAGCTGGTCTGCAACAGAGTGAAGGCCCAAGCTCAGCGTCTTGGACCCCAAAGCCAATGCTCTTTCATCCCAAAGGCATACTACACAGGCAGGGGTGTCCCACAGCCCAGAGAAACTCAGGATTCCATGCAGGGCCTAGAAGACACTGGGGGCTGGGCCAGGGACCGGAGGAGCCCACCTTTTTGACAAGGTCCCGGGCATCCGGGGTGAGGTAGGGGGGCAGCGTCAGCTTCCCTTTGATGATCTTGTCCATGGTTTTCTTCCGGTTCTCTGCAGTGAAGGGTGGCTGGAGAAGGCAGAGGGTGAGAGGAGACTTGCGGGCCTCCCCCCAGGCCCTGGCCCTGGCCCGAGATGAGGACCCCCGTCCCACCCCCCTCCCCACCGCCCCTCCTCCCAAGGAGGCTGGACTTGCCGATCCAGTGAGCATGTCATACATCAGGGCCCCCAGGCTCCACCAGTCCACCGCCCGGTTGTGGCCACTGCGTACCAGAATCTCAGGGGCCCTGGGGGCCAGGGGAAACCATCAGCCAGGCAGGGCCCTTCCCGGCAGTCCTCCCGACCCCTGGTCCCAGCCAGCTGCCGCTTACATGTACTCAATGGTGCCACAGAAAGTATGGGTGACGGCGCCCTCATGGATCGACTCCTTGCAGAGTCCAAAGTCTGTCAGTTTGATGTGGCCTGAGGAAGATTTTGGAGGGGGTGGTCAGCGCCCTGGCCTACCGTGTGGTGCTCCTCAGCCCTCCCTGCAGATTCCAACCCAACATATGCAGCTACACGGCAGCGGGCGGGGGGGGGGGAGGCGGTGCACATACGCGCACCCTGGCTGTTGAGCATGATGTTCTCAGGTTTGAGGTCCCGGTAGATGATGCCTTGGGAGTGGAGATGGCCCAGGGCCAGTGTGATCTCTGCCAGGTAGAAACTGCAGAGACAGGACAGGGTGAAGGTAAGGGTAGGTGGGGGGCTGGGCTCTGAGGGAAGAGGATCCCTGGAGCCCCTGCAGAGAGGCAGGAAGGAACACCTACCAGGCCGTGTCTTCCAGGAAGATGCCCTCTCGCTCCAGATGCGTGAAGAGCTCACCGCCTGTGACACAAACACGTCAGCAGCTGTGTGCTGGGAACAAGCATCTTTGCTCTCTGAATCTCGGTTTCTTCTTGGGGAGAGTGGGACTCATAATTCCGGCCCTACCTGCCTCACACAGCTGCCGTGGGGATTCAATTCAATTCAGCAAACATCTACCGACGCCTACTCGGGTGTCTGGCCCTGTGCTGGGTGAAGCTGGGGACACAGAGATGAGGAGACCCAGCCATTGCCCTCAGGATGCTCAGTCTAATGGGGAGACAGACATGCACACAGGTGCTCTAATATGCCAGACTGAGGCAACAGCTCCAAGAGCTTAATGCAAAAAATATCACAGAGGAGGCAAATGACTCCTAACGTGAGGGGACACAGCCCAGGGTAACAGTGAGAATTGAGGGGGTGCTGCGATGGACATGGGGACTGGAGCTCACAGGGCTCATCTGTGCAGACAGGACCTGGCGGCAAGTGGGCCCCAACCGCTTCATGGCCAACAGGGGGCACCAGGCCAAGGAGGCCAGGCTTCACTGGGGCAGTTACAAGGAGCCGTGTAATTGTTAGTAGGAGCGTCGGGGATAATTCCGTGCTGAGACGATGACCCTGGGAGTTCATGGAAGAGGGTGAGCTGAAGGCCTCAGGCCCAGTTAGGAACAACTGTGACCCCTGCCCTCCCCTCAGGAGAGTGGAGAGTATGAAGGACACTGCTGAGAATGAACCAGCGGGATCTGGGACCCAACTGGACACAGGGCACACAGGAGAGAGGAACAGGCCATGAAGGGGTAGTGGAAATGGACAAAACAAGCCACTGGATTTCTGCACAAACTCCGAGCGTTCCCGTCCACCCCCAATACAGGTGAGGGACACAACAGGTGCTGGACAGACGTTTGCTGAATGAATGAACGATGGGACGGATGGACACACGAACGGATGGGTGTGGGGGCCCCCTAGCCATTCTACACACATCTCTCCAGGCTTCCCCCAGAGCTCCCAGTGCTTCCTGGCTGGTTCCCTGGCCCTGGTTCCCTGGCTGGGCCCCTGCTCATACCACTGAGACACTCGAGGATGAGGTAGAGTTTGCCACCAGTCTGGAAGGCATAGGCCAGTTCCACAATGAAGGGGTGCTTCACTGACTCTAGAATGTTCCGTTCAGCCCGCGTGTGTGCTGTGTCCTTGGCGTTGCGCACAATTTTGGCCTGAAGAGGCGGGATCAATCAGAAGGTGGGCACCTCGGGCACCTTTCGCCCCTCCAGCCATTACCCTCCCGCCGCCCTTTATCGCTCCATTCTGTTTCTCCGTAATTCCGCTACCAGTGATCATCCTCCTCAAGGACTGATTTATCCTCTAGAGGTACCTCTCCGCTTTGTCACTAACGACATTTCAGGCAGATAATCCTTTGCTGTGGGTGCTGTCTTGTACATCGTAGGATGTTTAGCAGCAGCCCCGGCCTCTACCCACTGGATGCCAGTAGCACCCCTATTTAGTTGTGACTCAAAAATGTAGAGGCAGTATTGCCCACGGTTGGGAATTACTGCAAAACAACACAACCACAGCTGACGTTAAACCAGCCAATGCCCAAGACAGGGGCCATCTCCTCCATCATGTTCACTACTGTCTTCCGGAAGCCTGGAGTCGTGCATGGAGGACGGCAGCCACCGAGCAAGGATTTGTTGGCTGAACAAATGACTCACCTTCCTCAGGACTTTCATGGCATATATTTTGCCCAAGTTGGTGCCCTGCACCTTTCGCACTTGGAACACCTGTAGGGCAGGGGAGACAGGATCAACCTCCCTCTCCACAACCTATCTTCAAAAAAGCTCCACCCTGAAGCTCTGGCACTGAGACCAAGAGGCCTGGGCCCACCCAAGGGTGGGGCAGTAAAGATGTCAAGTCTGATTCTGAGAGGATTGGCTTTTCCCTGCTTTATGTTTTTACCTCAGCGTTCTATGGAGGCTCGGCCGATTTACAAGTTTAATTTGTTTTGAGACCCTTTGCTGCTGCCAAGACTGAGGCAGGGAGACCAGTGAGGAAGGAAGGCCAATACCTTGCCATAGCCCCCCTTGCCCAGCACACGCAGCAGCTCAAAGCAGTGGGGTCCGATGCGCTCAGGGCCCAAATTCACACTGGTCTCAGTCAGCTCCACCTCCTCACAGTGTCCCACAGGCCTATTAACGCAAGAAGTTAATGGGGGCAAGGCTCCAGTACTCCCCATGTCTCCCTCCCCAGCCCATACCCTCCTCCCCCAACACAACCCTCACTCACTCCAGGCCAGCCGCCCTCGACTCGGCAAGGGGACACACGTCCTGTGAGAAACCGAGGGGTAAGAGCCAAGGAAGGCACCGGGATCCCTCCCCCTCAAGCTGGACTACTTGGCCCGGGAGAGGAGGGGGTCAGGGATGGAGCTGGCGGGCGATGGGCCAGCAATGGGGAGGAGAGGTCCAGGGCAGAAAAGGGAGAACCAGGGTAAGGGCTGGGGCCTGAAAGGTCGGGGTGAGTGAGGGTGGGTCAGAGCTTAATAGGGGCCGGGCTCAGAGACGCTCTGGCTGGGGGAAGCCAGGGCGATTCCACCGCCTGGAGGATGGGATCGGCTCCGGGATCGAGCCGCGCCCGGGAGGACCACTCACCGAGGGGCTCAACTCTGGCTCGCCCTCGCTGCCTTCCTCCGTCTCCAGGTCCAGGTCAAACACGGCCGCCATAGCGGCGCCGGCCCGGAGGGGCCCTCGGCCCGTGCTTGGCCGCGCTCAGACTGACAGCCCGGGGGGCGGGGCGGGGGAGTTGTACGTTATCACTCCGCGACCGCGGCCGCGCGCGCCGATGACGCATGAGGCTCCCCCCTCCCTCCAGCCGGCCACTTAGTCTGGCGGGGCGAAAAGATGGCGCCCGGCGCAAGGCCTCTCGGGAACTGTAGTTCCAGAGTGCCGGGGTGCCGAAGCCGGTCTAACACTCTTTGACGGGACCCTCAGTGTTCGCAGCACTGCTCCCCGGGGGTGGCACCGGACAGGGGAAGCCTAGAAGGCGCTCATCTTGGTTCTGGGAAGAGTGTGAGTTTGGATGGGGCAGAAGCACATGCAGGTATTGGTGTAAATTTAATCCCCAGCCCGGTTTAAGCCGTGCGCTGGCTGGGTGGCTGGGCGGCGAAAAAGGCAGGTCGCGTTTCTCTGTTCTGCCCTGAGAGGCAGCTGCATCACAGTCTCCCTAACGTGACACCTGCCTCAAGGACCCTGCAAATCAGAACATTTACTGGGTGACTGCCCCACGCTCAGGTCAGGCTGGGCTTTTTTGCCAGGTTCTTGCCAGAAAGGGTTTGGGTCTCATTGATACACCCGTAAATACGGGTTTGTGCTGGAGTTTGCTTCGTTGCCAATTTAAGTACAGTTAGTAATTTTGCTATCTGGTACAGAATAGGCACGTAATAAAACTTCGTTAAAATAATGAATGAATGAATACACAAAACCTGGTCTGTGACTTTAGATTTGGGCATGGATTCTCGTTGCATGGAGCTCGGTAGGGGTGAATTTGGGCCACACTAGGTCTCGGATGAGTTCTGACTGTCGGAGGCTGTCTGGATGTGCAGTCCAGTTGGATGGGGAGGCTAAGTATGAACTCAGCTGGACAGAACTCAGGAGTCTCCAGGCTGGAAGAGGGTTGTTTAGTTGGATGTGGCCCTCTGGTTGCAATTCCACCCTCCAGAGACCCTCAGGTTTGGGTCCCGTTGTGAGTGACCATGGCAGGCCCCTGCTCACGGCCAACACAGAGGCCTCGCCAGTAGGGTGTTTTATCCTTAGCTCCAGATGCTACAGGTATCCCCTAGCCACCTCTCCTTCCTCCCATCCCCAACTCCCATCTAGCTGAGCCTGAGGGGTATTGTCCAAGTCACAAGAACCAGATGCCAGACCTTTCATTAGTTCATAAGCCTTTATTTGGAGAGGGATGCTTGTGGAGCGAGCCCCAGCTCCTGCGCTGCACAGGGGCAGAGTTATCGAAGCAGACTCCCCTGAATCAGGAAGGGAGTGTAGACTCTCCTCTGCCAATGCCGGTTAGTTATGCCAGAGGCCAAACCACCAAAGTTTGGTGGAGAAGATGTGTGCTGCATGGGAGGGGGCGTTCACTCGTCTTAAGGCCACATATGAATGATGGCAGGGAGGTGAGTGCGGTTTAGAGCGGGCACATAAGACTTAGTAAAAGTGGAAACCTGGACCCTGTATCTTGTCCCTTGACCCCCCAGCTACTGTGGTGTGACCTTGAGGCTATGGTTGTTCCTCTCTGAGCCTGTTTTCCTCATCTGTAGAATGGGGCAACAGTGTCTGCCTGGAGAGGAGATGGTTCCTGCTGACCCCAAGGCACCTGCTTCTAGTGCTCAGGCCAAATGAGGCAAGCAGGGCACTGCCAAAAGTTGTCAGCGGACTCTAGAAATATCCTGGAATTTGCTAAAGGAGGGTTAAGAGTAAGAAGACAGGGCGTTTCGTCTCAGGCTTTTGTGGGATTTGTCCAAGGCTAGGGGCCAGCCAGCTTCTCTCTTCCTGTGGGCTGCAGGAGGAGAGACAGACCTGGAGGGATGACAAAGAGGGGCTAAGTTCGGGCCCACTCCCGCCTCCCTGCAGTGTGTGTGCGCGTGCGCGCGTGCATGTACGTGTGCGCGCGTGTGTGCACGCAGCTGTTGCTGTTTCTCCATGGCTAGACTCGTGGGGCAGGCCTGGGGCCTTTGTGCCGGACTGACAGCAAGAGGGGCCAGCAGGCACCCCCCCAGATACTTTTTTTGTGGTCCTCAAGCTCAGGAGGCCTTCGTGTCAAATGGCCCTGTTATTCTGGAACAGACCGGAGGCCTTGGGGGGGCCCGGCCAGGGTTGGGGCAGGGGTCCAGGAAGAGAGGCACTATTTGAAGTGGGACAGGAAGTGGGCAACAGGGTAGTGGGGCCCATCGATGCCCAGACCCTGGCAGAGGCCCAGCAGGCGGAGGCGAGCCTCAGCCGGGCTGGACCCAGCACAGGCCACGCTGCAGTAGGGCTCCTCGTATTCGCCCGGCACCAGGACCTCCTCCAGCCAATTGAGGCGCAGCAGGCCCTGGTCATGAAGAGCCTGAAGGGTCTCACGGCTGGCGGTGGAACTCAGCACCTGCAAGTGCTGGGACACCAGGCACATGACCCCCACCAGGTGGCCACGGGCACGAGGGTGGGTGGGCAGGGCAGGCCGCAGGCCGCAGGCCGCCATAGCTGCTGCCAGCAGCAGGTCCACACCATAGAGTTCCAGGATCCAGTCTCTCAGGTAGAAGCCGCCCATGCGAGGGTTGATCTCGATGAGCTTCGGCCCAGCCCCAGTCAGCTTGAGCTCCACGTTGAACACCCCGTCCAGCAGCCCACAGCCCAGGCAACAGCGGAAGGCTGCCTGCACCAGCTGGGCCTCCTGCTCAGGTGCCAGCCCGGTGGGCATGCGGGCTGCTGTCTCCGTGAAGCCGGGCAGCCTCGTGGGGCCATTGTCGGACACGAAGGCGGCCAGCAGTCGCCCACCAAACAACACCAGGTCCACATCGTGCTCGGTGCCCTCAACGAACTCCATCAGCAGCATGGCGTTGCCCCAGCCCAGCCCAATGCCGGGGTGGTCGGCCTCCCCCTGCAGGTCGCGGGCGATCCGGGAAAAGTGTTCGTGGCACTGTGGCGCGTCCTCCACCAGCCGCACACCCACTGCGCCTGCCCCGAACTCCAGCTTCATGACACCTGGCAGGGGCACCTGGTGGACGGCCTTCTCCACATCAGCCTCACTCTCCAGCGGGCAGCAGGGCACAGCATGGAGGGAGGGCGCAGGCCAGGGTGGGCCATGGCAGCGCAACAGGTGCAGTTGGGTGCAGCTCTTCTGCTTGGCCAAGCGCATGGCAGCTGGGGGGCTGCAGGGCAGCCCCAGCTCCTGGCAGAGCAAGGCCGTGAGCACTAGGCAGTCATCCCAGTAGGAGAAGCAGCCATCCAGCTGCAGGCCACGGGCCCGCACCAGTTCCGCCAGCAACCGTGCATTCTCTTCATCCCGCCGGTGCTCTGTCACATCAAAGTGGATGAACGTCTGCACCAGTTGGGATGCAAAGTGGTTGGGGTCCGACTCCACGAGGTGCAGCTGCAGAAAGCACCAGAGCACTAACACACCCAGTTTAGCCTGTGCTGGACACTGGGGAGATTGGATGGGGCCTAGAACATGGCTTTGGCCCTCAGGAGAGACCGACTCACCAGTTCTAGGGGCTCAAAAAATATTTGTTGATGATTGACTAAATGGAAGGTGCAGAGTTGGCACATCTAACCCAGCCTGGAGGGGAGGGAAGGCAGCCGAAAGGAGGCAATGCTTAGGCCGGGAGCTGAGTAAAAGCCAGAGGAAAGATGGCGGCACAAGGGAGAGGGTGTGATCCGGGCAGGAGGGGCTGGAGCAAAGAGAGAGGGCTGGTGGGCTCCTTCTCACTCTGACCACAGCTGTAGTGGAACTACCAAGTTGGGGGTAGGGACAGGTGGCCTGGTGTCTTTGGGCATCATGCTCTTGGTCATCATTCACCCAAAGAGTTCTGACCCCAGGGGTGCCCACAGAGGAATCAGTGGGGCCCTGCGCCCCAAATCTCACTGCCCGCTGGGGGAACACAGACACAAAGCAGCTGGTTCCCAGGGCAGAGGCTGCTCCTGAAGAGACAGGGGAGGGTGGCTGTGAGCACTGTAACATTTGGCAGCATGAGGAGTAGAAAGACGTTCCAAGTGGAGAGCACAATGTGCAAGGCAGGGAGTGAAGAGGCATAGGAATGGCTGGAGGGGCGGATTCCCAAGGGGGTGTGGTACTGTGGAAGAGGGGAGAGGAGCCATTGTGGTAGATTAGAGCCAGGAAGAACCTGGCCTCTGTTTTCTTATCTGTTCAATGGGGGATAAGAATGCCTACTCTGGGGGAGGCTGAGTGACTCAGTGGCTAAGCGTCTGCCTTCTGCTCAGGTCATGATCCCAGGGTCCTGGGATGGAGCCCTGCATTGAGCCCCGCATCGGGCTCCCTGCTCCGCGGGAAGCCTGCTTCTCCCTCTCCCACTCCCCCTACTTGTGTTCCCTCTCGCCTGTCTGTCTGTCAAATAAATAAATAAAATCTTGAAAAAGAAAAGAATGCCTACTCTGCCTGCATGGCTCCAGATTCTTTAATGCGAGGCCACTGCTGTGAACTTGATTCGGGACCTGTAAGCTGCTCTTCAGCACCCTACTCGTGCCCTCAGGAATTCAACCTCGAAGGGCCTGCCCTTCCTGCAGGTCAGGGCCAGGCTCCTTAGCCTGGCATTCAAGGTCCTGGTTCTGGTACTAACCCTGAATGACGCCCCCGCCCCTCCAGCCCATCTGCAGTGGGCTCTTTTTGCCCTGGAGGGGGCTCGCTAAAACAGAATTCGGCCGGAGGCCAAAAAGAGTCTAGACTTCTGGGGCGCCTGGGTGGCTCAGTCAGTCAAGCCTCTGCCTTCTTCTGCTCAGGTCATGATCTCGGGGTCCTGGAATCCAGTCCCGTAACTGGGCTCCTTGCTCAGCAGTGAACCTGCTTCTCCCTTTCCCTCTGCTGCCGCCTCCCCACCCCCGCTTGTGCTCTCTCACTCTCGCTCTCTCTCAAATAAGTAAATAAAAAAAGTTTAAATTTCTAACCTGGGCGGGGCAGCGGGCCCCACCCCTACTCCTGGGCTCTAGAGCCCCCAGCGGGCACGCCCAGCGCAGGCTCCGCCCCCAGCGGTGCCGGCCCCGCCCTGAAGCCCTCCGCGCCCGGGCGCCCAGGGCGCCGCCTCCACCACTGGGGGCCGGGACTTCGGGCCGGCCCCGCCCCGCGCCTCGCCCACCTTAAGCCCGTAGTCGCGCGCCGCCTCCCATACGAACTTCTTGCTGACGCCGCCGGCGCCGATCAGCAGCAGCTGCTTGCCCTCCATGAGGCAGTGCGCGGACCGCCGCAGCATGGTCTCCACGAGCGGCGCGGCCGCCGCGTCCTCGGCCGCCGACCGCGGGCGCTGCGCGGCCCACAGCCCCTCGAGCGCGCCGCACGCCTCCAGACACAGGCCGCTGTTCAGCTCCAGAGCCACGGGGGTCAGCGCGCGGCCTTCCACCGTCAGCGCGAAGTCCACGCCTGGCCCGGGCGGGGGGCGCGGGCTCAGCGCGGGCTGCCCTCCGGCCTCGCCCCCCGGCCCCCGGCCCCCGGCCCCCGGCCCCCGGCCCCCGGCCCCCGGCCCCCGGCCGGCGCCGTGCGCACTCACCGAGGAAGTCCGTGCGGGCCCGGCGCCCGCCGCGCTGCTCAGCGCTCAGGCCGGCCTCCAGGGCCAGCACGGCGGCCAGCGCGGCCTCGGCCGCCGCCTTGACGCGCCGTCGCACGACCGCCACCTGTCCCGTCTCACCCAGGCCGCACCGGGCCAGTGCCACCTCCAGCGTCTGTGGCAAGGAGCTCTGGTGCCGCAGAGGCCGGTCCTCACGGCCCACGCTGCACACCACCTGGGCAGGGTGTGGCTGAGGGTGTTGGCCCAGGAGGAGCCGTCCCAGGACTAATGCCACCCCCCACACCCACGCCCTGAACACCTACCCTGGTGCCGAGGTCCAGGCCAGACCTCTCACTGGACATTCAAGTAGCCCAGTCCTCCTCTGTGGCTTCCGCTGCACAAACCACTTTCCCCCGCCACTGCCCCTCTGGTCCTTTAGACCCTAAGGGGATTCTACCCAGGCTTCCAGGCCCAGCCGGGGTCTCTGCTCCTTGAAGGCTCCAAGCACGCTTGCTCCTAGCTCCTGCAGGCCTGGGGGCCTGTGCCACCCTGGTGTGCCCCACCCTAGACCTCCATGAGGGCAGGGTTGACAGACTCTCCCTCAGGTTGGCTCAGAGCTGTGTTCCCAGGAGGGTCCTCAAGCTGCCTTGAGTTCCCTGGCTTGGAGGCCCCTCCTAAAGGACTCCAGACACTGGCAGTTCAGAGACCCTGGGTCAGCCTCTTCTGTGGGTAAGAGGGTTCAGCCCTGGGCCCTGGTACCCCGTACCAGTGCAGAGCTCCTGAGGCAGGAAGGGTGGAAAGGGAGGGGAAAAAGCGTCAGACCCAGGAGTCCTCCTAGAGGCCACCAGGATTCCCCCCAAAGATTACGTCTTCTCTCTGCCCGGGGCCCTCAGCCGCTCATTAGGGCTGGGCTGGGGTGTGGCGGCAGGGTCAGGACCTAAACCTGGGCCACGCTCACCTTGCTCAGCAGGGGCCTGTCACCCTGTGTCCGACATACCACAGCACAGATCCGCACAGCCAGCTCAGGGCCAGGTGGGGGCCTGCCTGGGGAAGGACAGTGAGGCCTGAGCCCGGCACAGAGCAGCCAGGAGGGCGAGCCAAGCTCCCACGCCTGGCTGGCCCAGGTGGCTCTCACCTGGGAAGGGTAGCCGGGCAGGTGGGCACACAGCCTCCACCAGGACACTCTCCTCCTCCTCCAGTTTCTCCAGCAGCGCCAGCACCGTGTCCACCACTGTGCCCAGCTCCACTCGAGGGTACACACGCAGTGCCTGCCGCCCCCGCCAGCGCCAGCCACTGAGCTTCACGGCCACCTGCAACAGGGAGGGGAAGGGGGTCTCCTTACCACCCCATGGACCTGTGGGGTACCATAGGATCTGATGTGTAAACTGAGGTAAGAAGGGAGGGGATTGCCACAGAGAGAGACGCCAGCAGGAGGGCTCCAAGTTGGGAACAACTTCCCAGCAGGACTAGGTAACCATCCATGGGTCCCATCCTGCTGGCATCTGCACAGACCTCAGGAGGCAGGAGCCTGTTACCTGCAGGGCATCGGCCAGGGCCCCGGAGTGCAGAAAGGTCCCTACTTCCTCCTTCACCAGTGTCTGCTGGTCCTCTTTGCCACTCAGCTCTACCAGCCGTAGGCCCGGGCTGGCCTCCCCTCCCCGCAGCAGTGCCGGGGGCTTATAGGTGAAAGCCAGGGTAGCTGGCACAGCCACACCACCGTGCTGAGCCAGCAGTCGCCTTGTCAGCAGCCTGTCCTCCAGCAGCCGGGCCAGCTCAGCCGAGGCTCCGGTGGGGCAGGTCAGGTCACGGGCAAGTTCAGCTGCCTCTCGACCCTGGCCAGGTCCCAGCCCCAGGCCCGCCAGGAAGTAGGTGGCTCGGCGTGGGGGGACAAAGTCATCTAGGAATGTCAGGCCCCCTGGGTGGAAGCTCACAGCCTTGGAGACCAGCAGGACCGCCTCGCCCGGCTGCCCAGGTGCTGGCACCTTTGTCAGCCAAGTAGGGGACAGGCAGAGGAGCATGTTTCCTATGGGCAGAGGGAGGAGGGTTGCTGGCCAGGGAAGGCCAGGGAAGGCTTAATGCCCCCATGTCCTTCGCCTCCAGCCCGGGGCCCTGGGTAGTGGGGGCAGCTGCTCCCAGAACCCACCCCCACTCAGAGCATGGCAGCCGGCCCGGCAGAATGCAGGCACTTGCCAGAGTCAGTGGGTATTTCGGGATGTGGCCGGGCCAGAGCAGGGCTGCCCTTTCTGTAGGAGCAGGCGGGGGAGCTTGGGTACATACTCACCCGGGCTCTGGACCCCACCCTCCAGCAGCACAGACAGAAAGGTGCTGGGGGATCCCAGAACGCATAAGGTCACCTCCGCACCAGGGCAGCCTGGGGGTGGGGTGGGGTGGGGAGAACATTGCCAAGCTCAACAGGGGCTTCCCCTGCTATCTTTCTGCCTACCCTTCCCTGCCCCACAGCCCCGCCCTCCCCCCCCTCCCCGGGGGGCCCCCAAGGTCCTTGCCAGTGTGGGCTGAGAAGGGTAGAGAGGACAGAGAAGACGCTGGAAAGGGAAAGGGAAGCTGCCTGCCCATCCCGCCCGGTGAGGCTGGCTCCCTCCTCTCTGCAGCTAGCCTGGAAGGTACTGGAGGCTGAGTGACTGGAGAGCTGGGATCTAGCCTGGGCTTTGACACTGACTTTCTCTGTGACCCGTGGCCCCCATGCAGTGTGGTGGGGGGCGGGGAGGAGTCCCTGTGCCTCAGTTTCCCAGTCTGTGATTTTCATGTATTCTGGCTGTGAACCCTCTGTCCACACAAAACCTCTGTGGCCACCTAATCTTTAAAACAGTTGTAAAAATTAATAAATAAAAATAAAACAGGGAAGGAGTTTTGGGTCCCAACTGTTAGCTGCTTCCACAGCAGCTCCCAAGACACACGTCTGTAGAAGCTCTGGCTCCACAGAACGTGGATGACAAATCCCACGGCTGGGTCTTCTGGGGACTGGAGGGAAGCCTTGATCTCTGACTTTACTGGTGCCAGATGCCCTTTGAAACAATGCTTGTCTGCCGGAGGTTGACTGGCCTGACCTCCCTGGCTCCAGATCCAGCCAGAGCCTGGGGGAAGGGGCTGACCTTGACAGGGATGGGAAGCAGCCTGGGCTGAGGGCGCCCCCTCCCCCCCACGGGCTCCCCCCTCCCTGGAGCCCTTGGGCACCTGTGCGGGGCACCTGGCTGCGGTCCTGGGTCTCCGGAAGGCCAGCTTGCTGCAGACAGCTCTGCAGGAGGCTATAGTAGTAGACGGTCCAGGCCCGGGCCTCCGCCCCCTCGAGGGAGCCCTTGCAGTCCAGGCCCACGTCGTGGTGCCAGGAGCCGGGGAAGCAGTCTGGAGGCGGCAGGCCAGAGCCTCCTCCCCATGGGCCCCCCTCTTCCTCCAGGTCCTTGGAGCCCAGGGGGCAGTCCCACTCGGGACCCGGCGGATCCAGGGAGAGCTGAGAGGGGCAGAAGTGGTGGGTCTTGGGCAGAGTAGGCAAATGGCACATTAGGTCACCCAAGGATATAAGCCCTCCACACCCCTAACCTTGGGTTATGTTCAGGGCAGACACTGTCCTAGGAACCAGGAGGGGATGGAGTTGGGCTAGGGGATGAAGGCCTGTCACCAGGAACACGTAGGTAGAGGTGGTTTGTAAAACGTAGGTGCCGTGCTCTGGGGGGTCTGGGGGTAGAAAGCACTGTGCTGCTGGCTGGACCACTGCCCCCCCCCCCCGCCACCATGCCACGCCAAGGTCTGCCCTAGCTTGGTTCGCAGGACCAGAGGTTTTGGTCTGTTTTGTTCATCGAAGCAGTTCTAGCACACCATAGCTGCTCAATAAACGTTGATTGAGGATAAATGAACGAACGAACCAAGCAATCACTCTTGAGCTGCTCATTTCTCTCTGGCCTTGGTAACCTATCTACTACCATCATGGAGCTCTGCTGAGACCTAAATGTGTAGGTGAATCTTTCCACTGCCACCTAAGTAGGCCTTGAGGACCTACTGTGTGTCCAGCCCTGTGCTAGGCATTGGTAGGGGAAAAAGCCCGTGCCCTTTTTTCAGATGTTCTGAGTCATGGAAATGCTTTCGTTGGATGAAATTTTACACCCCTGCCCCTCTCTGAGGCTGGCTGACTCCCACATGAGGCAGCTCAGAGGCTCTGTGTGACCACAGGTGGGGACAGAGGTGGGCCTGTCCTCAGGGGGACAGCCTAGGTGGGCTACCTTGGGTGAGTTACAAGGTTTCTTTGGGCCTTGTGGGGGCCTGGCACCTGCCCTGTCCCACCCCAGGAGGCCGATGAGGCTTCAGTCACGGGAAGACAGTGTGCTGTGGCCGGGAGGGCAGGCCTGCGCCTGAGACCTGGGCTCAACTCCAGGCTGACCAGTTCCAAATTCTGAGCCTCGTGCCTTCTCTTAGAAGGTGTGTTCCAAAAAGAAGAAGAAGGTGTGTGTTCCCTGAGAGCCCAGACTGTTCATGCACTGCTATGTCCCCAAACCTGGAATGGTGTCAGATGCATAGTAGGGGCTCAGTGAATGTCGCAGAATGAATGAATGCCAAAGGGGACCAACAGTGCCCATCCCCAGGGCTGGTGGGGGAGAGGGGAAGTGCCTGGCGCACAGCAGCTGCTTGTCCCATGTCACCTGGAGTGGAGAGTCAACCACAGCGTGGGCTGCTGCTCATAGGTCTGAGCTGTCTGCACAGGGGAACCCCCAGGGTGAGGCTTTTGGGTGCCAAACCCTGCCCTCTGGGCCCTCCCTCTGGCCAGGGGCTTGGGCCTTTTGGGGGAAGGAGCAGAGGAGACTCACCATCTTACAGGTGCAGTGGCTGAGAGACTGATGGCAGAGACAGAGGGAAAGAGACAAAGGAGGGAGTCAGGGCAGCCGGGTCTGTACCCCACTGCCCAGCCCCTCAGACTCGGGGGCGGAGAGATGGCCCCCAAGGCGCCTGTGTCCCGTCCCTGACAGGTGTCCACGGCTGCCCCACCCCCACCCAAGGAGGCGGTGGGACCCCGGGACCCCAGGAGTCCTGACACCCCCCCCCACGCCCCCCAGCTCACGCCTTGAGGGTTGTGCCTGGCAGCGCTGGGGTCCTAGCAACCCCGCCCTTCCAGCGGGGGGCGCGCTGGGTCCCCGCGACCCCTGGCCCCGCAGCCCCCCTCCTTGGCTCTCCCCGGGGCGCGGGCAGGAGCCGGGGTACCTGGAGGGCTGCAGCGGCTCGGCGGGGCAGGCGGGCGGCGCGGAGCGGCGGGGGCTCGGCGGCAGCGGCGGCGGCACAGCGGGAGCGGGCGGCTCCGCTTTATATAGAAGCGACCCGGGCATGCCCAGTGCGGGGCGGGGGTGGCGCGGGGCCCCAGCCGGCACCCCCCCCCTCCGGCCGCCCGGCCGCCCCGCCGCCCGCGTCCGGACACCCGCCCCCGAGCCCGACACCTGGGCTGCAGGGGGCGGCCAGGGAGACAGGGCCGACCAAGTGGAACAGAGGGTCACAGCCACACGGCTGTGGTGAGGGGAAGACAGAGCCCGGACAGGGACAGAGAGAGAGACAGACAGACAGAGGGAGAGACAGTGCCGAATGCACGGGGGATGGAAGAAAGAGAGAGGGAGAGAGGAGGAGGGGAGGGGGAGAGCGGGAGAGGGCAGAGACCAGTGGCAGGGCTGCCCTTGGCCTTTCGGGGAGGGTTGGCCAGGAGAGCCGTCGGGGCCCACAGTCTGGAGTCCTGCCCTTGGATGGAGTCCTGAGCTCCCTAGCACACCCAGCCCCCAGCAGTCTGCCTCAGCCATGAGCACTCTGTCCTATGGCAGACTGTCCCAGAAAGGCAGGGTTGGGCAGGGGTCCCTGTACATCTGTGGGGTTCCTGCCTCACCTCTCCTGGCCCCCACCAGAGTAGGGACCAGTCAGTAAGAGGATCCCACAAGGGCAGTCCCAGTTTCCTGGGAGACCCTCTGCTCTGCAGGGGGCCAAGAGGGAAGGGGGTGCCCAAGCTGTGGGGTTCCAGCAGATGTGAGCCCAGGAAAGGGGGTGTGTACGGGATCCGTCTGCCCATGGACACCCACGTCTGCTGGACACCAGCAATTACACCCAGTCTCCCCAAGACACACAACCTTACACCCAGGTGCATTCACCCAAGCACCCACAGAAAACACCTCAAGAGACCTGGCTCACGGCCACAAATTCGGAGACTCACACCCTCTCCTTGAGTGTCACAGTAGGCAGGTGTCAATCCTAGCTCCGGCCATAGGACCTGGGCACGTCCGCTTTCTGGTCTGAACCTCACTTTCCTCCTGCCTAAAATGGGGCTAGTCCCCATCTCACAGGGCTGTGGGGAGGGTTAGTACATGGTCCTACGTGCACCCACCACATGCAGGCTATTATTATAATTCCTCCACCTTACAGCCTCGAACCCACATCTTCTCCCTGCCTGTCTCAGAGTTGGAGACTCCCTGGCTGTCCCTGAGAGCCTTCTGGGCTCGGGGGAGAGTACCGAGGGGCCTGTGGCACCTGTAGTGGCAGAGGGGACAGCTTGGGGTATACAGAGGACCCACCCCTGTTTACCACTGAAGGGACTCCAAGGGGAGAAATGATTCATCCAGAGTCCGTCCAGCTCAGCCCACATTCCCCACACAGCTTTCCAGGGCTGGCTGCTCGGCGCCCTCCCTGGAATTAGGTGTGGCCACTAAAGAAGTCCATTCTCTTGCTGCAGGGGTAGCCTGAGCGCCACGGCAATCCCACTCGTGGGAACAGGGGTGGGGCGCGGATGTCATCAAGGAGCATGAGCTTTTGGCACTTAACAAGAGTTAAAAAACTGAAATTCAACTGAGTAAATTTTTAAAGATTTGATTGGCTTTATTCAACGACTCATAGGAGCTGTGCAGAATGAAAGACTTATAGGCAGAAGGGAGCAAAGACAAGGAAGGTGTACTGGGCAAAACAGCGGGTTGGGTTTTGCAAAGTTGCTTTCCTTTAGGGGATGGCAGAGGTCTATCAGACGACCTAACTAGTGCTGATAGGTGAGTCTTGATCCTGGTTTAAGATTCCATTTCTGGGGGCACCTGGGTGGCTCAGTGGGTTAAGAGTCTGACTCTTGTGTGTTTGTTTTTTTTAAGATTTTATTTAGGGGCACTTGGGTGGCTCAGTTGTTAGGCGTCTGCCTTCGGCTCAGGTCATGAACCCAGGGTCCTGGGATCAAGCCCCGCATCAGGCTCCCTGCTCGGTGTTCTCTCTCTGCCTGTGTTCCCTCTCTCACTGTGTCTCTCTCTCTCAAATAAATTTTTTTTTTTTTTTACTTTATTTGACACAGAGAGAGAGTGCACAAGCGCCGGGAGGGAGAGAGAGAATCTTAAGCCGACTCTGTGCTGAGCAGGAGCCAGATGCGGGGCTCGATCCCATGCCCCTGAGATCAGGACCTGAGCTAAAGTCAAGGGTCAGACATTCAACCGACTGAGCCAGCCAGGCGCCCCGTGTGTCCGGCTCTTGATCTCGTCTCAGGTCTCGAGCACACTGCTGGTGAGAGGCAGAGCGGGGGTCTTCCATCTGCTGGGGCGTGTGCACACATGCATGGAGAGCAGTGTGGTTCTGTGCCCACTCCCAGAGGGCCTTGGCCAGGCACCAGCTCTTGTGGCGTTTGCCTTGTGCTTGCAAGGAGGAAAGGCAAGGTCTGGGACTTGGGGCAAACGGTCTGGCAGAGCGCTTCTGCTCTGTCTCCAGCCAGCTAGTGGTGGGGTGAGGAGAGGCAGTGTGTCAGCTGTCGTCCAGATCAACTGAACAATCATCCTCCTAATACTGTGACTGATAGAGCAATCTTGGGGCTGGGGTGGGAACTTTTATCTCGTCATCTACAGGAGAAAATAAGCTCCGAGAGCAAGAGGACAATTCCTGTGCAGGGACTTTGCAGGGAGTCCGAGTCTGGTTTCTGGACAGCGTGGGGATGGGGAACCTCAGGGGTGGGTGGCAGTGCAAGATGGAGACCATGGGCCCTCCTCACGACCAAGGTGGGGATCCATCTGCCCTTCTGCTTTTTAAAAACGTGTATTTATTTATTTTTAAGTTATCTCTACACCCAACATGGGACTCAGACTCAACGACCCCAAGATCAAGAGTTGCATGCTCTTCCAGTTGAGCCAGCCAGGGGCTCCTTTCCTTCCACTTTTTTGCTTGGCCCCCACTCCTGTCCCTGGGGCTGACCCAGGCCAATGGACATCTCTGGGTGCCATACCAGCTTCAGTCCCTGCAGGCTGAGTGCCATCAGATACGTGGTTTGCCTTCCCCTAGCCCCCTTCCAAGCAGGTTTGTCGGGAGCTGGGGCTGCCAGGTTTACTAAGTATGGTTGTTCAGGTTGCTCACTGCACAAAGGTACCCAGCTGAGTGGTCACTTCCCCTCTGCCACACAGGGCTGCATGTGCCTGGAGGAGAGGTGTCTTTTCCCAACTAGCACACGGGTGCTGTAGGAGCCAGCACGGTCTTGTGAAGATAATGTGTGCAGGAGTGTTCACATGAGGAGGGCGCGAGTTCTCTTCTGGTCTGACACCCCCACACCCTACCCAGCTCAGGCTCCCCATGTAGATGTTTGATAATGGCACCTGCCCAGAAAATGCTTCCCTGAGCCGAAAAGACATTGATTTAGCCCTAGCTGGAGGAGTCCTGCTGGAGACCATTTGCCCCTAGGGTCTATAACCAGTGGGACTCACTGTCACCATGGCCCCCCTCCCAGCCTCATGACAGATTCTGGGGCCCAGGGCCAAGGCTGCTGCTTTCCTGCTTCCCCACCCTCCGAGCAGAAGAACTGAGCCCTTGGAGGGCAGGGAGTCTAGGAGCAGACTCTGAGGGTAGGTGCCCCCACCCTACCTGCTACAGAGCCTGAGACTGCATTCGATGCCCTAAAGCTAAGGTGTTGTCCAGAAGGCACAGAGCCCTGAACTCTAGGGGCTCTGCCCTTAACGGTGATCTTGGGCCTGGGCACTCCATTTCCCCTTTCTCTAGTGCGTGATCTGTGCTGCCTGCAGAGGCGGAGGGGATCTGAGAAAGAGTTCTGGGAAGTGCAGGTGAGTGGGTTATTTTTAAGCTACAGTTACCTTAGTTGGGCAGGGAGGAGGGAGGGAGGGCCCCGGAAGTTCTCTTTAACACCCCGGGGCCCAGCTGCTGCCCCACACTCCAAGGGGCTAGTACTCAGGCTGGGGCAGGGCCAGGGGAGTGGGTGGGAGCAGGAGAGAGAGCACCCCCAGGAGGACAGACCTGGGTGGGCGCCCAGTTGTAGGGGGCAGGTTCATGGCTGCTGATGTGGAGGCAGGGGTAAACCTGGGGTCTGCCATGGGCAGCGAGATCTTCGCTAAATCCCCTCCCCTCCTGAGCCTCAGTTTCCCCCAGGAAACTCTGCAGACCTGGGTCTAGACCTCCGTGTTCCCTCCTCCAGGTGGTAGGCTCCTTGGGTACGGGATGGTCTGCCCCAGAGCCAGGCCCTGGCCAGGCACATACTAAGCACCAGATGAACATATGTTAAGAGTGAGTGTATTCCCACAACCTGTGGTGCTGTCACCAGAACATTCCAAATCAGGGGTCTGACCAGTGGCCAGGCCAGTGTTCCAGCACAGCCACCGGTACGAGCAGGGGTGAATAACCCACTGTGGAAGTGGGAGTCCAGATGCTTTCTCCCAGTACTGCAGAGTCCTGCCATGCCCTGCCACCCTCCCCCCTGCAGGGCAGGGCCCCCAGGGAGGCAAGGCACCCGGGAAGGGGCACTGTAGGGACACAAGCCGGCATTGGAGCCAGCCCCGTTGTCCTGGTGATGGCTCATGTCTCAGGCACCCCAGGCACCCACAGGGGCAATTATCAAGTGTGGGAGGGAGTTTCCATGGTGGCAGTCCCGAGGGGGTACAACCAAGGCTTTGGAAGTGGGCAAGGGCCTGTGGGACCTTTCTCCTTTGTCCCCGCACAGTAGGCTTTTGTTCTCGCCTGGCTTGTCTCTGAGGACGGGACCAGGACCATGAGCGGGGGCAGACTTGGGTTAGAGTCCCCCCCCCCACCCCGCCCTTGGGAGTCCCGAACCAACCTGGGAGGAGGGGAAGAATAGGGGATAGAGCCCCACTTCTGGGCCCAGCATCCACTAGGGGAGCCTTCCTCCCACAAGTGCCAGAGCCTTACCTGCCCCCAAGAGGCGGCGCGAGGCGGCTCGCCATTGGCTCCTGCTGCGGGTAAACAGCTTTCAGCAGCCAATGGGCAGCCTCGGTGTATCCCGTGGGAACCCGGGGGGCTGGCCAGGAGAGGCAAGGCTGTGAGGGGGTGAGGTCTAGAGTTAGGGGTGGAGAGCGTTCAGTCCAAATCCATCAGGCTTCTGCTCAGTCAGACTTTATTCTAGGCCTCCCCAGGAGCCCTCTGGGGTCCGCTAGCCCAGCCAGGTGCCCTTAACCCCACACCTCTTCAGCGCCAGCTTCCATGCTTGCAAGGGCCCGGGCACCAGGACGGCTCCGTGGGAGAACGGCAGGCCTGGGCCCCTGAAACCGCACTCGGTGATCTTCCTTCATCCTGGTGTCTGACAGTCCCTGGGCAGGGAGCCGAGCCGCCAGATCCCAGCCGTAAAGTGCAGTGCCCATTTATGAGGCGGGCATCAGCCAATCGGGCAGTTGGGGTTAGGGGACACCGAGTCCACGATACCCTCAGAAGTCGAACCTTCAGAACCGGGTATCCAGGAAGGAGGCGGAGCCTCGATGAGACCTGGGGGGGCCCTCGAGAGGGGGGCCCCTGGACCGAGTCAGGAGCCCGTGGAAAGTCTTGCCTCGGGTCTGGGGCTTGCGCCGCGGGGGCCTGGGCTCCTCCGGGGGCTGCACCACTATCCGGGGCACCTCGGGCTTGGTGCCTCCCGGCACCCCTGCCAGCTGCTGGGCCTCAAAGATGGCTTGGGCCCCAGGCAGGCGGGCCTGAGGCCTGGGGGGTGGCCCGGACGTTGACTCAGGCAGCCGGGCCAGCTGAACCCTGATCTCCCGCTGCAGGTCCTGCTCAGACAGCGCCACGCTGTGCACCTGCGGGGAGTCATTGGTACTGAGTGTGCCCAGACTGGGGGAGGGCAGGAAACCATGAGGTCCCCACAGGCGGGCAGGACACAGCCCCAGGAAGTGGCTGAGGGCTGAGGGACTGACAGCCAGACTCACTAAGAGAACCATAGAAATCTACTTGAAGCCTGGGGTTTTCACATTCTCTGCTGCTCAGAGGACAGGAACTGGGCCCCGGGTCTCACACTGACTTCCGCCTGTGAGACTCGGTTTCCCCACCTGAGCAGCAGGGGCTGGGCCATTGTGGAAGGCAAGGCAGGGGGGGGCACCCACCTGGGACATGAAGACCTCCTCCTGCAGCTGGGTGGGGGGGATGGCCCGTAGGGCACCGAGGGTCTCCAGGAGCCCGGGGCAGGCCAGGCGCTGCTCTGTGGTGCCTAGCGCCAGGCGCACCAGCGTCAGCCCCACGCGGAACAGCACCTTCACACCTGCGGGCCGTGGGGCTCACTCAGGGCAGGGCCGGCCCTGCCCCTCCTCGGTTCTGTACCTGAACCTGCTCTCTGCCAGGCGCCTTCCACCCCCCTGCAGCTCCGCAGCCTGACTCAGACCAGGAGCAGTAAGTGACAGTGGGACTGCGATGTGGGGGCATTGAGGAGTGAGTGACTGCGGCCGCAGACGCTTCCAGGCAGAGCAGCCTGCTAGCAGTCAGGGGCTACGCCTCCTCACGCCCGCTCTCAGCGCCTCGGCAGCTCGTCCTTGCTAGGAAGTCCTCTCTAGCTCAGATCTGTGACCTTCTTGTTCTAGAGGGATTCTCGCCAGACTCTTCACGGCTAAGCCAAGAGCATAGTGCACGCGTGCACACACCCATGCACGCTCGCTCACCCACATGCGCGGGTGTGACCTCGGGCTGTTCCCACAGCCTCAGAATCCCTTCCGGGCAGCCTCGAGTCTGGGGACCAGTGAGGCCTGGTGACAACCATGCCTTGTAAAGAGATGATCACAACCACTCGTGTCATCATCATGACGAAACAGAGCTTGTGCCATTGCTTGTCCAGAGGGTTCCTCCGCCTGCCCTGCCCGGCCCCCAAGGTGTGAGGCTGGAGGGGGTGGTGACACGGAGATGGCAGCTTGGACACCTGTGACCAGAGCTCTAAGGGGGCCTGGAGCCAACTGGGCACACAGCAGGTGCTCTATAAATGTACTGATTGATTTCTACCATTTTTCAGTTATAACTGCCAAACAACCCATAGAGAACAGAATGCAGGTGGGTTACCAATGGGGGTACCGAGACAGAGCCCCCAAGTCCTAAAACGTCCAGCTCAGCTCTGCCCCGACTGCCCCCACTCTTGGCCTGACCTCTCGGGCTTCATCTCTGTCCATGCCCACATCCGCAAGTCGTCAGTGGCCTGGCCCTGTGGACAGTGTCTCTCCTGGCCTCTCGGCCTCCACATGGGCCCTGCAAGTCTGCCGCCCCCACGGAGAGGCCAAAAGCATCTTGAAAACAGCACTCCTCCCACTGCTCCCCTAACACTCTGGCACATCCCTTGTTTTATTTTCTTCATGGCGCTTATGACAATCTAGAAATACCTTTTTTTTTTTTTTAAGCTCTATGCCCAACGTGGGGCTTGAACTCGCGACCCTGAGATCAAGAGTCACACGCTCCACCCCTGAGCCAGCCGGGCGCTCCTATAAATATCTTGTTATTTTGGCTATTGTTGGCTCCCATCCCCACCCCCACCAGAATGTAGGTCTCGTTCACCCAGGGGTCCCAGCGCCTACAGCCGTGCAGGGCACCAGCGAGGGCTCCCCGAGTGCCTGTGGGCTCCAGGGATGAGTGCTCCCCCGCTCCCCCGGCCCCGGCCCTGTCCCTGCCACTGGCCATGCCCACTGAGCCCAGTCCCCAGAACAGCTGCACCGCTGGGATCTCCCGAGCTCTGCCCCGCCTCCTTGGGGGGGGCCTCCCTGGCCCCAGCCCACCCCCATCAGAGCCTGCCCTCCCTCGGTGGGGGCGGGGGGTGTGTCTCGTCACAGGGGCAGGAGCACCAGCCATCACACCAGTGACGCACAGGCAGGGGCTGGGCTGCTCCCCCAGAGCCAACCCGACACCATCGCCCTTGGCACCCACTGGCACCCGCACCGGGAGCCAGGATTGGCAGTGGCAGGTGGGGCGGAGCAGAGCTGGTGTGCTCGTCCCTGTGCACACCCCAAGGCTCCCAGGCCAGGCCGCGCCTCCCCCGCCCCCCAGCTGCCCACTCACCCTCACTGAGGAAGGCGTCCCAGACACGCAGCACGGTGGGGAAGGGCAGGGATCGGGCAAAGAGGCACAGGAACCACTCCGGCAGGTAGAGCAGAGGCCCGACGCCCACCTGCTGCAGGTGCTTGTGCACGCGCGGGAGCAGCCGTCGAAGCAGGGCCATGAATACCTCGGCGTCCAGCTGCACAGCCTCCTACAGCCACGTCCATCAGCGCGTCCGCTCCCGAAGCCCAGGCTCTGCCCCTCTCCATCCCCAGGCCCCTGCCCACCTGCCCAGTCCCTCCCGGTGCCCTCCGGCCCCCTCCCAGCCTCTCACCATGTGGGGCCCGTAGTAGCCAGGGAGGTAGACCTCGCAGATCTGTACCAGGCACCAGAAGGCCTCCTGGGTGGGGGCACAGGCCATGAGCACCCCTGCCCAGGGGATCACAGAAGGAACCGCAGGGTAGGGGAAAGGAGCACAGGGGAGGGCCTATGTACCCTCTGGGGTGACTCTGGAGCCCGGAGCCTAAACAGCCTAAACTTGGGCTCTCACCAAGTCTCCCCACGGCCCAGAGGCCTACCGATGGGTTTAGGGGGTTGGAAGTCATAGGGTTCATGATGTCGAATTTCAGAGTCACAGAGTTGGGGTTCGTTGGTCAAGGGTTGGGAGGGTCCCCGAGTTCAAGCCCTCAGCTCTTGAGGTCATTGAGATCATGGTCACAGGGCTCAGAATCAGGAGTCGTGAGGTCAAGGGGACAATGTCCAGATTCTTAGGTCACTGGGGCAGGGGGCAGGGGAGAAGGGTCCCGGGTTCCTGGAGTCAAGGTCGTTGGGCTTGAAAGCCACTGAGGTTGGTGGTCATGAGGCCCTAGGTCACTGGGGCAGGATCTGGGAGTCAAAGAGCCCAGTGCCTGAGTCCAGAGTCCCTGGGGCCGGGGGTCAGGGTCTCGAGCCCCCGGAGCAGGGCCGGGCGCACTCACCTCCGGGGGCAGATGCATGAGTAGCACGGCTGCCACAGGGCCTTGGGCCTGACAGTAGCCCTGCTCCGGCCGATGCAGCGTGTAGGCCTTGAGTACCTGCAGGAGCCCCTGCTGCCTGTGCCAGGAGACCCCATCAGGGCCTGGTCCTCCAGATACCCCTTCCCCACCCTCGGGGGGCCTCTTCCCAGGCCTCAGCGCCCCACCCCCGGGCCTTGCTGGGTCCCCCAAGAGGTAAAGCTATAAAGCTGAGGCAGGGGTCTAGGCTGAAGGTCCTGGAGGTTGTGGGGCTGGAGGTCCCTGGGTGTCACTGGCCGCCTACCCATGACCCTGAGGTGACACAAACATCTCGTGTAGAGGGAACTGGCGGTGCAGGTCCCTGCTGATGGTCTCCATCCACTGTGGGTCTCCGGGGGCCTTGGCCAGTTCCTGTGGGGAGACAGGAAGGTGGTGGGGAGGGCTCAGGGTGGCAAGGGGCTCTGGAAAGGGGAGGCAGGGCCTCCTGCCAACTGTTACCTGATAGGTGGTCGGGCTGTTCATCTGACACACGTGGGCCCCACACAGCAGAGGCCAGCAGCGGGCCCTCAGGGCCGAGGGGATGCCTTTCCGGCACTGCATCTTTACCTGCGGGTGAGGCCAAGGGGCCCCATTAGATCAGCCAGGCCAGCCTCCCCTGCTCCTGTTGGCAGGTCCCAGGTCCCAGCCTGTCATGGGGCAAGGGTCCCTTCGGATGGTAGGGGGAAAAGACAGGAGGTGCTGGGACACAGGAGGGGTAAAATTTGCCAGGGTACGGGCAGAGGCAAAGGGGGATGAGCCAGGGAGCCGCATCCTCCCCTCACCTTCTTGTACCGCCGAGACATGGTTTTCTCCCAGTGCGAGGTCATCTCTACCCACTTCATCTCCCGCTGGCGGATAAGGTCTGCAGGAGGGTGACCTGGCCTACGGGCACATGGCACGGGCACATGGCACAGGCACGGAGGAGTTGGCTAGCTGCTTCCCAGGGCCCACATCTGCCACCCTCCATGCTGCCCCGGGGAAGCTCAGCTCCTGGCCGTGGAGATCTCGTGGGGGGGGTGGGTAACCTGTAACCCAGGAGTTGCCAATGGTTGTCATAGGGACAGGAAAGGATGTGACTCTGATGTGGGCAGAAGCAGGAGAGACTGAAGGGGGTGTGTAGGTATGGGGGGGAGGGGGGCCGGTTGGCTGTCCCCCAGGATAGGAACACAGACAACTCATAAGAGAAGCGAGGTGGACAGAGCCGCAGACCAGAAGCCAGTCCCGAGTTCTCTATCTGATCTGCTGTGTGACCTTGAGCAAGTTCCTATCTGGACTTGTTTTCCTATCTGTATATTGGGAAAGGGGAGCGGTAGAGGTATGGGTTCTTTGGTATGGTTCTGGGATTACTGGGACAGATCAAAAAGGGAAGGATATTTGGCCCCAAGGGTAGGTGCGAAGCCCGGGAGGTTGGGGGGGAAAGACATATGAGGGACACGCCTGCCTCAGCTCTGCCAGCTTTAGGATTCCACCTGGAGCACGAAGAAGGGTGACACTGGCTGAGTCCCCAGACCCCCCAGGACCCTCGAAGTTAAGCCTCACTCTAGAAGTCAGCCCTCAGCCCCCAACCTCAATCCCAGCACCCTGCCGCCCCCATCCCTTCCCCACTTACCCTGGCTCTGCTGAGCTGCCCCCAATGAAGCCATAGCGGTCAGCCTGGCGATATGGGCCGGGCCCACTCAGCTCTGAGTCGGACCCCAAAGAGCTGGAGTCGTCCTGCAGCTCTAAAGTTTGCACCAGGTCCTCCCCCAGGGCCTGGGCCATGGTGCCCCAGACCCAAGCTACCACAGGCTGTAAGGTGTGGAGAGAGCCAGTGTGAGAGGCCGCTTCTGGCCAGCCTGGAGCCTGGGCTCCCATCCAGCCAATCCCCAGCCCAGGGACCTGGCTGCAGGGTTCAGAGGGGAGAGGCTTCAAGGTATCTCACCAAGCCCCTTCCGTCCCCTCTTTTATTGGAGGGGGGGGGACGGTGGGCCCTGAAGTGGCAGAAAAGCCAAGCCTCTGTATGGAGGCCCAGCCCCAGACTCAGCTCCTGCCCCCCACAGACCAGCTTACCTCCCGGCGGCACCTCACCTCCTCCTCTCACTTCCTCCTCTGGCAGCTTCAGCAACCCGCTGGGGGGCCCCTCCCACACTCCCCTCCCAAGTGTGGGGGGAGTCACCCCTTCCTCTCTGAGGCTCTTCCGGCCTGCCCCAGTGCCCCCAGGGCCGTGGGCTCCTCCCCTCCCCGTGGGCTGGACGGCTGCAGGCTTGGGTTCCTGCGTTGGGTGTGAAGGGGCCAGGACCCACCCGAGGTACAGAGGCCAGGCCCCCTCCAGTTTTGAGGTTATCGGCTTGTAAAACAATTCAGGATTCCAGGGGCGCCTGGGTGGCTCAGTCAGTTAAGTGTCTGCCTTCAGCTCAGGTCATGATCTCAGGGTCCTGGGATGGAGCCCCGCATCTGGCTCCCTGCTCCGCGGGGAGCCTGCTTCTCCCTCTGCCTGTAGCTTTCCCTGCTTGTGCTCTCTCGTGCTCTGACAAATAAATAAATAAAATCTTTAAAAAAATAAACACGAATTTAAAAAATCAAGATTCCAGTGAGAATTATGATTTAATATTTGCTCTTCACAAAGTAATGCTTTGAATATGCACATAATGCAGCATTATTATGCACTCAGCAGGTAATAATAGATCTTACAAAAAAATATTAATTTAGCGTGCCCCACAGTGTGAACCAAGTTGGGTTCAGAGTGCAGCAGCAGGTATCTGGGTCTGGCCAGCTGCCTGGGGGGCCACAGAGGCTCAGGAGGGTGGATGCCGGGTCTTGGACCAGACCCTTGCTAGCTCTGAGCCTCAGTTTCCTCTTCCGCGCTTCGAGGACTTAATCCGCAGTGTTTGGGGAATCGGTTATTAATGTGCTTACACCACACTCCCGCCCAGGGTGGGAAGGGCTGGTTAGCCTTTGATAGAGAAAAACAACTTGTACAGTACTTCCGGCCCCATATTCTCGGAACGGGACTCGGATCACTCCTCAGGGGTGGGACCAGACTCAACCCCGCCCCACCAAGCTCCACCCACCGGCCAGGCTTCCGTTTTAGATAGACCAAACTCAGCCCAAGCCCCGCCCTGTCCCCTATGCCCCGCCCCCGGACCGCCGCGGCCGCTGCGCCCGGCGTCCAGCAGAGGCGCTAGAGCGCGGGGGCAGCGCGCGGGGCGGGGCGGCAGGCCCAGGAGGCGGGGCGGCGGGCCGGGGCGGGCCGGGGCGGGCGGAAGGAGCGCCAGGCCGGAAGGAGGCAGCAGGAGGGAGGGCGGGCGGGCGGCAGGAGCGGGCCCGGAGCTGCTGGGCCGGAGCGGCGGCGCCGCCATGTCCGACAGCGAGAAGCTCAACCTGGACTCTATCATCGGGCGCCTGCTGGAAGGTTGGCCGGGGCGGGGGAGGTCGGTGCCCGCCGCGCCCTGGCCCTCTGCCTGGCCCGGAAGTGGTGCGCGGGCGGGCCTGCCCCTCCCAGGGCCAGCTTAGACTGGGCGGGGACGGGCCTCGAGGTCCCGCGGCCACAGCCGCCCCCCCAGGCGCGGGGCGCTTGGGCGGTTCTGGGGACGCTCTGGCAAGAGGAGCAGCCCCCTCTCCTGGGCTGGGGGCGCACAGGTTGGCCTGTGCTCTTGGCGGTGAGGGAGAAACCTAAGAAGCCTAGCTCCACCCCTCCCAGGGGTCCTGCGCTATGGGGTGGGGTGACAGGCCCCCCCCCCCGCGCACAGTCGACCCCCCTCGAGGGGTCCATCCTGGGAGGCTCAGCAGCAACAGCTGCCCCTGGGCAAGGAGGGGCCCAGGAGGCCCAGGCGCCCTCAGATGTGCCCATAGGGCCACTTGTGTCGCCCACCTTCCTCCTACCAGAGGCTTGACGCCCCATTCCGCCCCCAGTGCAGGGCTCGCGGCCTGGAAAGAATGTACAGCTAACAGAGAACGAGATCCGTGGTCTGTGCCTCAAATCACGGGAGATCTTCCTGAGCCAGCCCATTCTTCTGGAGCTGGAGGCACCCCTCAAGATCTGTGGTGAGCCCCCTGCCCAGGCCCCTTTTGCTTTCTGAAAGTGGCATTCGCCCCCCGCCCATGCAAGTCCTTGCAGTGCTTGTCCCTGGAGCCCAGACTTGGCCCTGGGTTCAAGTGTAGCCCCTGCACCTAGCGCTGAACCCGTCCCCTGGATCACAGGTGACATCCATGGCCAGTACTATGACCTTCTGCGGCTCTTTGAGTACGGCGGCTTCCCTCCAGAGAGCAACTACCTCTTCCTGGGGGACTATGTGGACCGGGGCAAGCAGTCTTTGGAGACCATCTGCCTGCTGCTGGCCTATAAGATCAAGTACCCCGAGAACTTTTTCCTGCTGCGTGGGAACCACGAGTGTGCCAGCATCAACCGCATCTATGGCTTCTATGATGAGTGTGAGTAGGCAGAGTATCTGGGGCTGCCCAGGTCCTTAAGGGACTCCGCTATCCAGTGAGACGCGGATTGGCGGTAAAGGTATTAAAGTGTCTGACAGATGCCTGCAGACTGAACTCTGTGAAGGGCGCATGCCAGCCCGTGTCTCTCTGCCCTGCCCTCCTGGCATGGGGCCTGGCACTCAGAAGGGGTCTGGCGAATGGCTGCTGACTGAACACTGCCCAGTGTTCTCCTGCAGGGCCCTGCCTGATGACACTCCCCTCCGGTACATCCGCTGAGCACTTAGGATGCCTATTTGGACTGGCTTCTGCTGACCAGAAGTTGAGATAAACCAGACTTAGTCTTGGCCTGGCCCTGCTCACTGGGTGGGGGTGGGTTGTTCCAGATTGGAACTCAGGTTCCTGTGGACTCAGCTGCTTTAGAATTCTTCTAGGAAGGCTGCTAGGCAGTGGAGTGGGGGGAGGGGCTTCTGTTGTCTGCCACTCTCTTCCAGCTGTGTCTGAAGGGCCCAGAGAGTGCCCTGGAGGGCCCAGAGACACAGGCTGGGTGTGAGGCAGACAGGCCTCATGAGGTCTCTCCTTGCCCCCGGCAGGCAAGAGACGCTACAACATTAAACTGTGGAAAACCTTTACCGACTGCTTCAACTGCCTGCCCATTGCTGCCATTGTGGACGAGAAGATCTTCTGCTGCCACGGAGGTGAGGGTGGCTCTGGGGCACATGTCGAAGGAATGTCTGGGAAGGAAGAGCCCCAAGCCACATCCCTGGGGGACGAGGCTGGTAGCTGGGGGGATATATTCCCAGTCACCTGGAACAGCTCTCCCCGTGCTCTTGCTTTGCATGTCACTTCTTCCAGGCAGCCCCCCCCCGCCACACCCACCCCAGTACTCTGTTCCACTCACCCCCGTTTTGGCCTTGGCATTGTGCGTTGCCTTTGTCTCCTTTGTTCAGAGAGCTCTGTGGTCCTTGAGGCAGAAGGGAATGACTTCTGCCTGCCTGGACTCCTGGGACTTTGGGAGGGAGCCAGGTGGTGGCAGGTAGAGGGGAGGCTGACCTGCAGAGGCTTTGTGGAGCAGGGGGGGTCTTTGTTTTGAGGCTTGAGGAAGTGACCTGCCCTCCCCCACCCCTGCCTTGCTCCCCCAGGCTTGTCCCCAGACTTGCAGTCCATGGAGCAGATTCGGCGTATCATGCGGCCCACAGACGTGCCTGACCAGGGCCTGCTATGTGACCTGCTGTGGTCTGACCCCGACAAGGATGTGCAGGGCTGGGGCGAGAACGACCGTGGTGTTTCCTTTACCTTTGGGGCTGAGGTAGTGGCCAAGTTCCTGCACAAGCACGACTTGGACCTCATCTGCCGGGCACACCAGGTGGGCTGGCAGCTCTGGGGTGGGTGGGAGCAGGGGCTGGGTAGCCAGCACCTGCTGAGCTAACTGCCCCTACCCTCATCCAGGTGGTGGAAGATGGCTATGAGTTCTTTGCCAAGCGGCAGCTGGTGACACTCTTCTCGGCTCCCAACTACTGTGGCGAGTTTGACAACGCAGGTGCCATGATGAGTGTGGATGAGACGCTCATGTGCTCCTTCCAGGTGGGGATGGGGAAGGAAGGGGCCTGTGACCCGGTGGCTTAGCCCACGGGCCTGACCAGCTCTGTCTCTTTTAGATCCTCAAGCCCGCTGACAAGAACAAGGGGAAATACGGGCAGTTCAGCGGCTTGAACCCTGGAGGCCGGCCCATCACCCCGCCCCGCAACTCCGCCAAAGCCAAGAAATAGCCTCTGTGTGCCCGCACTCTGCCCCAGATGGTGGATTGTACAGAAATTATGTGGCCTTTGGGGGGTTCACGCTGGCCCCCCAGGCCCACCTGTCACGGGGAACACGGAGCCTTGGTGTATTTTTCTTTTTTTTTAATGAATCAATGGCAGCGTCCAGTCCCCCAGGGCTCCTTCCACCTGCACCTGCAGTGGTCGCAAGCAGGATCCTGGGGCCAAGGCTGCAGCTCAGGGCAAAGCAGGGCCAGATGTGGGTTTCCAGCCTTGCTTGGCCTCAGGGCTGGCAGACAGATCCTGGGGCAACCCATCTGGTCTCTTGAATAAAGGTCAAAGCTGGATTCTCGCCAGGGCCTCTTGTCTCCCTTGTCCCAAATACTGGGCCTGGCAGCCCTTCTGTCCAGGGCCACTTGGGAGGACAGGCTTGCTGGGCATGGGGCCCCAGCCAGGGTAATCCCAGCCACAGGCTCAGGTACACAGGAGCTTAGAATCCCAAGCCAGGGCCAGACAGCATAGAGAAAGCAAGAAAAAAGTTTGCTGGCCACAAGGAATCCCAGAGGTGTGCCCAGGATTTGGGGGAGGGACAGGTCATGATTGGCAAAGGAGGTAGACCAGCAGGGGCCAACAGCCCCTCTGTGATTTCTGTCTTAGGGAGGTACGCTTGGGGAAGGCAGGTGTCTAGCCCTAGCCACGTGGTTGGAGTCTGGCCTGAAGGCCTACTGGGAGGGGAGTAATGGGTGAGGGACCTCCCATCAGGTGGTGGCTCATTGCCAAGCCTGGGGACAGACAGGATTGGTTGGGAGGTGATGGGAGAACACAGGACCCAGGCTAGTCACAGATAGCCACGAGGGACCTGGGGTGGCAGCAGGACCAGCGCTCAGCTCCAGCACAGCCCACCTTGACCACCCAGCAGGGTGGAGATCAGCCCTATCCCTGGGCTGCCCCTGGGGGAAGGGGGAGGCTGTGGCTTCATCTAGTCCAGAGCCTCTGGACACAGGCTCGTTCTCAGTTCAGCCTTCACCCTCACTATCTTCCGCCAGCACAGGGCTGGGGCCCGGAGGGGAGTGTGCAGGGGCGAGGATGGAGCCAAAGAACAGTGAGCGGAACTGGAAGGTGAACAGAGGAAGCAGAGTGAGTTCTGGAGGCTGCTCCGTCCTTGCCTCCCACCCCTGCCTCCCTCTCCAGCCCCTACCTTCTTGGGTGGGGGAGTCCCAGGCTGTGTACTGGCCTCAGCTCCGTTGTCCTCTGAGTAGGGGCCAGGGCTACAGGGGGGCCGGAGGCCGGGAGAAAGGGAGGTGGAAGGTACTGCCCGGGAGCCCTCGCTGTCCACAGTGGTTTCCATGGCGATCATGTAAGAGTCAATGTCATCATTGGCAAAGTCATCCAGGTGGGGTGTGCTGCAGGCAGGGACAGGGTGTCAGCGAACCACAGGGAGAGAAGAGGGTATAGAGGCAGGACCCCACTTTAGAAGACTCAGAGGGAGCGGTAAAAGCCTTGGGACCACGGGTGATCTCCTGGCTTTATTACTTTCTCATTCGGCTGGAGGAGAAAGATGCCGTGGTTAAGTGGTAGCTTCCTGCAGGGCGCGGACCTGGACTCCATTTGATCAGAGCTCAGACAGGGGCCTGAGGGAAGCATCCTGGGAGTCAGGATAGCTCAGCCGGGGTAGAGCAGCATCAAGTCCTCCAAGCTAGGCCACCTTGGGCCAAAGCCTCCGCCCTCCCAGGAGACCGAGCTGGAGAGCACTGGGGCCCAGGGACGTGCTGGGCGGGGGGCCAGACCAAACTTCCTCTGCTTCAGCTACACTGGGCCCATCCCCCCCGGCCCACCTGCCCTTCCTGCCACCTGTTCACCCCAGCCCCAGTCAGCCCCCTGCCTCCCGGCAGCCTGTTCCCTCCTTGGCCTGAGAAGAGGCTCGGAGGAGAGGCCTCAGCCAGAGAAGGAAGCCAACCCGACCTCGGGGACCCTTCTTCCCTGGGTGGGAGGGCTCTCTGAGCACAGCTGACCAGGAAGGCTGAGCCTGCAGGGCTGGAAGGGGCTGTGAGCACCGGAGGGGCTGGGGCCCGACAGGAAGTGGATGTGCTGGGGGAGGTGCACAAGCTGCAGGCAGGAGGCTGCGGCCAAGGTCCAGAGAGATGGGAGTGGGGAGGGGCCGGCAGGCATGTGGGCAGCCTCACCTGTGAGCCTGGAGCGGAGGCGCCAGCCTGCGAAGCTCTGGGGAGCGCGGGGCTGGGGAGTGCAGGTCCGACTCTGACAGCGTGGCCAGGACAAAGTGTCCATCCAGCAGAGAGTCCTTGACGGCAAAGATGGCTGGCCTAAGCAGACGACAGGACCTGGGCAAGGTCAGGGCCCTTCAGTTCCCAGCATCCCAGAGCCTCCCCTCCCGGATCTAAGGCTGGGAATTACCTGCCTGGTGCATCGAAGTGAACGCTGAGAGACAAGTTTGCGGATTCCGCAAAGCTCAGGAGTCCCTGGGAAGGGAGAGGCAGAGCAGTGAGGCCCCAGGCAGGGCAGGGCGGACAGGGTGGGGAGTGTACTGGGGGGGAACCTCACCCGGAATTCCTTGAGGCAGAAAGTGATGGCCACCCCTTCCTGGGCCTGCAACTGCTGGAAATCCTCCTCCCCAATGCTCATCTCGGTCACCATGGCTTTGACGGTGCTGTCTGTGGAGGCAGGAACAGGAAGGACCTAGGCTTCTGGGCCCTACCCCCTCCCACCCCAGCTCTAACCCCCTGTCTAAGGCCACGTCTGGCTCTCTCACCTGCCTCCTCCTCCTCCTGGTAGCTGCGCAGGATGACCCTGCGGCCACAGCCAATGCCCAGTGTCACTTCTGCCAGCGCAGGGGGGAAGGGCAGAACAGCCTCCCCCAGGACCCTGTGAGGGGGGTACAGCATCACACCCAAGGCTCAGGCCTGCCCCGTGGCTTCACGCTTGCGGAGACCAGTGTCCAAAAGGACCCACCATGTGCCGGCCCTAGCATGCCCTGGGAAGGAGGACAGGGTGAGCAGGACATGGCTCCTACCCCACCCAAAGCTTTCAGGCTGCTGGGGGAGAAAAGTCCACCGCAAGGGACGGGGCAGACAAGAGCAGAGCCCAGAGGAGGCAACAGAAAGGATGGGCTGTGGGTAAGCACACCCAGTCCATCCCTATGAACTCAGCCTTCAGAAAAGACCTTAAATCTTTGTTTTTTAGGAATACATGTTGACAAATATGTACATATGAAATAACATCTGGACTCTGTCTCACCACTGGGACAGGAGCAGGGATTCACTTTTATACATACTTGAAATTGTCCATGAGAAAAACAATTGCTCATTCGTTTAAAAAAAAAAAAAAATAGCACCAAAATCCAGACCAGAGGTGATACCCTTCCCTCTTTCTCTACCCAAAGAAGTCCTGAGCAGCATTATCTCAACAGAACTCAGAAAAACAGATCATCAGGACCCAAAGGGAACTTCAAATTACCACACCTGATGGTTACAAAAGCAAATGAACGTGACCTTGGGCTACTCAAATGCAATCAGCATGCAGCGAAAGGTGGGAGGGGAACCACCCCTCTCTACCCTGATCTGCTGCAGGGACCTTTGCCTCCATAGGAATCCCCATCTCCTGGACCCGGCACAGCCCCCCGGGTACTCTGATTTTCCCGGAACAGCCCCATCCCCACAGATGCTCATCCAGGCGGCACTCCTGGACCATGACCACCCTGTCCAGCCTCCTTCCTCGGCCTGTGGACTCCTCAAAGCTACAGCCCAAGCAGACAGGAAAAGACAGGACCGCCCTTGAATGGAGAGCGGTCCCAGAAAGATGACCACACCAGAGAAGGATCTTGAGTCCCTGAGTAGAAAAGCTAGAGACGGATGTTCAAGGCTGCTCAAGCCGGAGAAAGAGGACTTAAGAGCAAGCCAAAGACATGCTTTCTAAAAGAGGAGTCAGAAGGGGTCTAAGTGGCCAGAAAGCCAAGCTGGATCTTTGGGGTGGAGAAGACAGTGAGGAGCATGGAGCAATGCCCTCCTCCATTCCAGCCTCAGCCCCTCAAGAGCCAGCCCAGGACCTGAGAGCAGACCGGTCTAGATAAACTCTTTGAGGTTCATAGAAACTCTGCAGAGAAAATGAAGAAGGTGTCTTCTTAAATCGACCCTGGAGGCTCCAAAGAAACAAACGAGACCCACGCTCAGTTGGCAGCTGGAGGCCACACTCACCGTGCTGGGGCACGGAGCACATTCGAGCACAAGGCTGGGTCGAAGACGGCCTGCAGGGACTCGCAGTCCTGGAAGGACAGGTTGTGAGTCTTCCTCACCCCTGGATGGGCAGACAGGGTCTCAGTGGGCCTTGCTAACCTCTACGCCTCCACGCCAGGGAGCCCGGGGCCGGCCGCTCGCTCACCGTATCTGCAGTGCAACTGGACCACCAGGCGGCTGCTCCTGCCACCCAGTGAGATGCAGCATTTCTCCACGCTCCTCTCCACCGTCGCCAGTGAGCGGAAGACAGCCAGGAACGACTGAGTGGAGGCAACACATCAGCCCAGTGCTGTGCCCCCACCAACCAGCTTTCACTCCCACGTAGGACCTGGCCATCCCCGGCTCAGCACTGTCCCACTAGGAAGGGAGTTCCCACAACACGCAGCACGTTTATGCCTTTCCAGGCCTCTGTTCACACTGTTGCACACCTGTCTGGGATGCCTTGAAAGATCTGCTGACTTTTCAAGGACCAAGGTGAACGTCACCACTCTCTCCAGGTCCCTGGCAGAATCAGTCTCCCTCACCGTATCTCCCATTACCCTCGGTGGTGTCTTTCCTATGCCCCTCACTGCATTTTACACCCGCTTGCTCCTGCATACATCCCTCTCCCCAGTTAGCATCTTCTGAATGCCCCAGGGCAGACACATTCCTGGGGGGGGGGGGCCGAGGGGACACCAAGCAGCGCTGAGGAGGGAAGGGCCTCACCTTCATCAAGATCTTACAGCGCAGGGCTTCCTGACCAGGGGCGGCCGCCTGGTACTGCTGGAAGAAGAGCGGGGCAAAGAGGAAGCAGGCGTAGGCCGAGCGAGAGGAGTTCACGGTCCGGAGAGAGAGCTGGGCCGGGAAAAGCAGGGAGAGGGATGCGGTCAGGGGGCAGACAGGCCCTGCCCTCTGGCCAGCTTTTGCTCACACACTTGTCCTGACGTCCTCCTCCTCCACCATCACCCGTTGAAATCCTCCCTCTCCTTCCGGTCAGCGGGTGCCTTCTCCATGAAGCCTTCCTTCCCTGAGTCCCCGGCAGTGACTGCTCCCACAGCAAGGGCCCTACATAAACCGTCGGCACACTCTACCTTTCCCCCTAGTTGCCCCCACCCGCCACAGGCACTTCAGGGAGGGCAGTCACACATCGGCCTGGGAAGATGACAGGGCCCAAACTGACGCCCCGACAACGGGAGGCGGGGGACAAACTCGGCAGACAGCTCTGCCCAAGGGCATCTGGCCTGACGCGAGGAGAAACCGGCTCCCGGGTGTAATCCCACCCACCCCCTCACCCCGTCTTCCAGGGGCTCCAGGTAGAGCTCGTCCCCGATGCGGGACAGGGAATGGACGGCCTTGCCGAGCACTGCGGGGAGGAGAAAAGGAACGGGGGTTAGGCTGGCGTCTCCGGCGGTCCCACGTGCCCCCGCCCCCCACCCCGGTCGCCCCAACTCACCCTTCACGTTGCCGCCCGTGACCAGACACCTCATGCTGCCCCCGGCGCCGAGGCCGGGCCTGGCCTCCCACGGAGCTGAGACTGGCGGCTGGCCCGCGCCGGGCCCTACGCACCCGGCCCGCGGCTTGGCTCCAGGTCTCACCCGCCGCCGCGGGGGCCAGAGGCTCCCTTCCCGCGCACCGCCCCCGGAAGCCCCGCCCCCGCCTTCTCATTGGTCCTCACACCGGCGCCTCCGTCACGTGAGAAAAACGCTCGCCGGCTCCGCCGTCACGTGACGGAGTCCACGGTGATGGGGGCGGGCCGCGGTCACCGGAGCGGGGGGCGCCAGGCCCCGGCCTTTTCGCGCCCTTGGGGAGCCGGCCGGCTCGGTGGGGCCTCGGCGGCTGTGCAGCCGAACGCGAGGAGTACGGAGGACGCGGCCGCAGGGCACGAGGTACCCGGTGCGAGGCCGCGAGCACCGGGCTCGGAGCCCTAAAATGTGCGGGCGAGCCCTCCTGGGTCGCTTAGTACAGATCTTCTGGGCGCCTGGATACGGGGTTGAAGCTGGACCGTGCGCACGGACCCAAGCAGCAACCACCAGCTCTAAAGAGATTAAAGCAATTTGCTGCAGGATCCCAGAGTGGGAGAGTGGCTGTTCACTGTGGCTTCGAGGAACCCCATCATTGATCCTTGAAGACCAGAAGATTCTAGGGACTGAAGGGGGTAGAAGGGTGTACCTAGCAGGGGGAAGCGAGAGGAAAGGGTCATTGGTACGTGGGCCTTGCCCCTTGTGGAGGGAAGTGGTCTGTGAGCCTTGCAGAGGGATGGAGGCTGCCAAACGATGAGGGACACCAGTGGGAAGCACTGGAAACGTTTTACGAGGGTGGAATCGCGTTTATGTGGCCATTTAAAACAAAACCCAGAGGTTGCCTGAGTGGCTCAGTTAAGCGTCTGCCTTCAGCTCAGGTCATGATCCCAGGGCCCTGGGATCGAGCCCCGCATGGGGCTCCCTGCTCAGCGGAGAGCCTGCTTCTCCCTCTGCCTGCCACTCTGTGCCTATCTGTGCTCTCTCTCTCTCTGTCAAATAAATAAATAAAATCTTTCTTATAAATAAATGAATGAATGGAATGAGTGAATGAATAAATAAAACCTTTCTTATGAATGAATGAATGAATGAATGAATGAATAAATAAATAAATAAATAAATAAATAAATAAATAAATAAAAACCAAACCCAGGACCGTGCAGAAGGAGGGGATTCGTCAGTGGGGGAAATTTTCCCCTTGCCCTGGGCCCTGGGCTGCAGGTCTGCAAAGTGGAAGGGAGGTCCCAAAGGGACTTTCTGAGCTCTAGCTCCCATAGCACCAAGCTTCTGTAGTGCTTTGAAGGCCCCTGGGCATCTCTGCATTCCTTAGGGCTGGCTTGGCCTTACTAACCCTCTGGTATTGTCTGCAGTGAGGAGTCCTATTTGTCTACCAGCCTTTTGTCCTCCAGCTCCTGACCTGCAATTCTGGACCCTGCCTCTTTGTTTCTCCCTCTCCTTTCTCTCAGTGTCTGTGCATCACCAGACTTCTCTAGAGCACTGGGGGAGGCTGTTCTTGCCTTGCCAGGGGAGGGGGCAGGCAGTGTAAATGGTCCTGCCTCTACCCAGGCATTTAAGTCGGGTCCGCTGGGAGTCATCCTTGACCCTGTCCCTCAGCCCACATATGACAGTCCAGCAAGCCCTGACTGCTCCATCTTCCAAACAGATGGCACCCTCTTCCATCTCCACAGCCGCCCTCCTGGCTCGGGCCACCATCCTCTCTCACCCGGACGACTATAGGAGCTGAGTGGTCTCCTGCCTGTCTTCTGCAGTCCACTCTCCATACGGCACCAAAGCGACCTTCCTAAAACGTCCCCCTGCTCACATGCTGGCTCCTTCTCTTCCTAGGCCCAGCTTTAGTTGCTCGTCCTCAGAGAGGCGTTCTGTGCACGGGCCCCCACCACTCACCACAGTGCAGCAGTATTTCATTTGTGTCTACCTAAGGTGCTGGCGCGAAGCTTCCAGCGCCTTCCCACAGCCCCATCCTTCCCTGGACAGTAGCTGCTTCCCCTCCACACTCTGTCAAAAAGACACAACCCACAAAAAATAAGTGAAACCCACAAAAGAACCTCGTGTTAGCTATTCTCTTCCTTTCCTCTCCTCTCTCGGTCTCTCTCTCTCTCTCTTTACCCCAGTATAACTCTGCGTGGCCTTCACAACTTTGCCCCACAACCGTTACCTGCGCAGCCCAACTGGTACAGGAGGTATACGCCAAGGCTCCCTGGAAGCCAAGGTGGGGGACAATTACACGGTTGCACCTCTGCCCCTGACATCTATGGGGCTGTAGGGTCCTGTGGCCTTGAGGTCTTGGAGGCAGGGCCCTGGGGAGGGAGAGGGAGACAGAAACTCTTCAGGTGGTGGTGGTGGTGGTGGTGGTTGTTTATTTATTTATTTATTTATTTATTTAAGAGAGGCTGGGGGTGAGGGAGGGTAGAGGAAGAAAGAGTTTTTTTTTTTTTTAAAGATTTTGTTTATTTATTTGAGAGAGAGAGAATGAGAGATAGAGAGCATGAGAGGGAAGAGGGTCAGAGGGAGAAGCAGACTCCCCGCTGAGCGGGAGCCCGATGCGGGACTCGATCCCGGGACTCCAGGATCATGACCTGAGCCGAAGGCAGTCGCTTAACCAACTGAGCCACCCAGGCGCCCGGAAGAAAGTTTTTAAGCAGACTCCACCCCGAGCGCAGATCCCGACTCAGGGCTCCATCTCAGACCTGAGCTGAAACCAAGAGTCGGATGGTTGGTTTCCTCGGACTGTGCCACCCGGGCACCCCAGACTCTTCAGGATACTTAATGAGTCTTCAGACATACACGCACACACTCTTTAGGATTTTTTTTTTTTTTAAGTAATCTCTGTGCCCAGTGTGGGGCTTGAACTCACAACCTCAGGATCAAGACTTGTGTGCTCTACTGACTGAGCCAGCCAGGCGCCCCTCTTCAGTATTTGTAATGAGTCTTTGGACACACACACACACACACACACCCTGTCAGAGGTCTGTTCTCACCTGACCCTTCTGAAGGGCTCAGACACCAGAAAGGGGCCTAGAGCTGGGAATCAGGAGTCCTGGGTCTCTAGCCTGTGTAACTATGCGGGTCCCTTCTCTGTCTGCAGCTGTTTCCTCATCTGTACAACGTGTTTGGTGGTGTGAGATGCTCACTGAGGTTCCTTCCAACCTTGATGTGTTGTGATCTCGAAGGGGCCCTCGGCTTCCCTGGGCCCGTCATCTGGCCACAGCTCTGGAGAGGAGCTGTATGTGGCTGTCCCGCTTCCCCCAGACTGCGGGACCAGAAGGAAGATCTCCTGTCCGAAGGCAAGCAGCCTCTCTGGGCTTGCACTTGGCACAGGCAGTGATGCCTTTCAGGTCCAGAGGGAGGACGCACAGTGGAGGATGAGGGCCTCGCAACCGCCAGGAGCACTTTGTGTTGGCAGAGGATAGGTATAGGAACCCAATTTGGGGTCTGGGCCAGAAGTCGAGAGACCCGTATAGCTCCAGCCCTACTCACAAGAGTCTCAAACAAGTCAAGGCCCTTCTTTGGGCCTCAGTTTCTTCCTTGGTAAAATGAGGGGGTTGCATGAGCTGCTCTCTCAGGATCCTTTCAAACCCCAAATTCTTAGCCTCACCCCATATTCGAGGTGGCCTCCCACAGGTACATAAGTATGTAAGTATGTGGGAATATGTGTGTGGTGAGGCAGATATGGAATGGAGGAAGGTGGTTACCATTTCAAACTTTTAAAATAATTACCCACGGGCGCCTGGGTGGCTCAGATGGTTAAGCGTCTGCCTTCAGCTCAGGTCATGATCCCAGGGTCCTGGGATCGGGTCCCGCATCGGGCTCCCTGCTCTTTGGGAGCCTGCTTCTCCCTCTGCCTCTCTCTCTCTCTGTGTCTCTCTGTCCCTCATGAATAAATAAGTAAAATCTTTAAAAAAATAAAATAAAATGATTACCCACTGGGAAATTTCCTCCCTTCAACCACCACCTCTTACCCAACTGGTTAGGTTTAAAAATGCAGGAATTCAGGGGAACCAGCTCGGTCTGGGGAGCATGCGACTCCTGATCTCGAGGTTGTAAGCTTGAGCCCCATGTGGGGCGTTGAGATTACTTACAAATAAAATCTTTAAAGAAAAATGCAGGAATTCCCAGAGCACCGTGATTTATTTATTCAACCTGTATTAGACACACTTCTCTACAGGAGAGGGAGTACAGGACAAAAACCCGTCCTCATGGGCTTTCCGCTCTGGTGGTGGGATGCTCTGCAGGAAGTCGGCTGGGCTGTGCACACGCAGAAAATGGTACATGTGTGGGGGGGGAACCACTGGGGGACATCCCCCACCTGTGGGGGAACCAAGCGGGCGAGGGAGCTCCAGCAACCAGAACAAGCTTGGCACGTAGAGGCAGCTTAAGAAGCACACACTGAGTGACAGGAATATAGCGTTCAGCCAGTTGGCAAGACTCGAAGCCAGGTTGCCCGCTGAGGTGCACTAAGGGCATTTGAGGCACCGGCCTGCCTCCATCTGGCCCCACCACTTTCAGGGTGCGTGCAAATGGGTCACGTTGCTTGTTTCCTCTGAGCCTCGCCTGTACATTGGCAGAGGGGTGATACCAGGCCTTCCCTCAAGGGGCAGCTGTGAGGGTTCACTCCCGTCAGTGTTCATAAAGCTCCTAGGACGCCTCCCCATACTTTAGGGTCAGGACCAGAAACAAAACAAGTCTGTGTGGACAGAGCCCTGGTGCATCCCACCAGGAACCTAGGAGGAAAGTTCCCCCCAGAGGAACATTCCAGAGAAAGGCCCGGAGGCCGCCAGGGACTGGGGGATACTAGGAAGACTCTAGTGGGGGCGGAAGTCAGCCCCCGAGAAGAGAGGAGAGACCAGGTCTCCTCAGGCTGCCGGGTAGAGGTGGAAGGAGGGGGATGGGCTGGAAGTTTTTAAGCCCACAGCAGGGATGCGAACAGGGAAGCTCCAGCTGGTTCACCA